AAATTAGCAAGGGTCATATTTCCACCAACTAAATTACCACTGTAATATCAAATAATTTTCATATAATACTTATATTTATTTGATAATTTTGTAAAATAAACAAACATACCCTCCATCTCCCAAGATTCCTATATGAATGTTTCCATTACCAAGCATTTGCATCATATTTCCGAAACTTTCCGCTATATCGGGATCTAAAAAGATATTTTTAATTAGTATTATTATATTAGATTTAGTATTAATATTAACATTTTTATGAGATATAATATGAAAAAATTTCACCACTATTGCTGCTGTTAACGTTTATATTAGTTTGTTGTTGTCCACTTGTGCCTCCTACCATTTGACGTAAGAAATTAATTATAGGATTAGCTGCAGTATTTTGGCTAGAAGTTGGTGAAGCTGTGCTGGTAGAACTAGCAGTACTACTTGCTGTAGACGTACTTGCTGTAAAATGTAATAAACTAATGTATATTCCATCGATTTAAGTACTTAATATATATTCTACCTGTTTGTGCCTGAGGTTGAGTTTCTTGTGCAGGCGTTTGACTGGCTCTTGTAGATTGTGAACTGACTGTAACATTTGGTGTACTAGTCGGTGTACGACGTACATGATGAGAATTGCAGGGAAGAAATGGATCAAATTCGAGTCCTTGACCCATGCTCATTCCAACGCCAAGTGGATGTGCATGATGTTGATGGAAAACGTGAGGACGTGAGGTACTACGAGTTTGAGTTGCAGTAGTTGGATGAGTTCCTACGTTACTTCTGTTATAAAATTCATTATTTGATAATTACAACGTGTTCGTTGAATGAAACATAAAAAATGAATATTCTACAATCATATTATGCAATTACGTTGACATTACCGTGCTTGCGTGCTTTGTGCAGCATTAGTAGATGTATTATCCATTGTTGCAGCAACTGTTTGCTGGGTTCCTCCAGCAGTAGTAGCTGTGGTGCGTGTTGTTAATGGAACTGTAGCGATACCACCTTGCGCCATATGACCAGCAACTGCTTGCATTAAATTGCGTAGAAAATCTGGCGTAGGAGCAGAACCCCAAGGAAATATGCCAGCAGTATTTCCACTGCCTCTTCCTATTGATAATATTAACTTTAGATATGTTATATATATATTTTTTTATATATTTATACATCTAAAAGCTTTAAAATGTACGTGCCAGAGTTATTATTATTATTGTTTTCACCGGATTGATTTGGTTCGTTTCCTGAAGAGGTTTCCATATTACTATCAGGACTGACTTCCATCAATACTTCAACGTTGTTTGGCAAATCAAATACTATCATAAAAGAACAGTTGTAATATTCTTATTCGATACATATATACCTTGTATAAAATATCATTGAACAAATATAATTACCAAATTGCGATTGTGGTTGTTCTTGTGGTCGCTGTTGTTCCGATGGTTGAGATGGTGGTGTACTAGTAGATTCTTGAGGCTGATTATTATCCTCTGTTGTAACTTCGATTGATCCCGAAGCTACAACAATATCTGATTGTTGTTGGGCATTTGCTGATTCAGTAGTTTCTTCATTACCATTATTATTGTTTGCATTGCGACCATGTAAACTAATATGAGCCTAATAGACAAATTATATAAAATATAATTAATTACACATTATATCTCTTTCATGATGTATGCTCACCTCTACCTGGATCGGTACACCTGCTTGCAGAATAGCAGAATGTTGTATGATAATAGGTCGACATCGTAAATTTCGAGGTGGTTGCTGTCTCATATCAACAATTATATCACTCAAAGCATGGCAGGAATGAGACAAATAATGTAGACATTCACTAACACCATCCACAATTCTTTGAGTCTCTTCAACGACTTCTGGCGTTCCAGGCTAATGAGTAATTTTATAATGTTAGATAAATATCAATGATTATTAGGAATTTGTTTTTATGTTTACTTACTCCTGGAGGCAATGATGGATCAGCCAACATAAGTACACGGTAGCGTTCAATGTATGGTCTTAAACGATCTTGAGTACTCAATAATCTGTCTAATAAGTACCCCATTTGTGGAGGTCGTGGCAATCTAATAAATAAATAAATTGATTATTTCAATGTATTTTGTATAGCAAACAAAACAGAAGAAAAATATATCTTACTGAGTAGGTGGTCGTCTACTATTTTGTCCATTTGCATTTGATGTTCCTTGTTGATCGCTTTGTGATTGTGCAGATGATTCCATTTCAGCATCTTCTTGCGTCTCACTTGTACTTCTTCCTTCATTAACATCATCATTGCTTCCTATATAAACATTTATCAAATATTAATATATTTATGTTAAATTTTTATAATTTATTACAACTTTTACCTCTTAATAAGGTAACATTGCTGGCACCTGATGCAGAGATCGCGACTCCTAATGCAGCTGCTACAGCTTCCGAAAGTCTAGTTCCAGTTGATTGACGACCTTCTACAGTTCTGAAAATATTTCGAAGAATTAATTGATTTATTAAATTATATACTTACCAAAAGTATATTTATTAATTACAAAATGATATTATAAATAATCATTAAACGAACTTACTCTTCCTGGTCTGTTTCTATATCTTGTACTTGTATTTGCTGCGGTAATGGAGATTGATTATTTTCTGATGTGCTAGGATGTAGTGGTGCTGAAGGATCATCAAGACGATCCATCAATTCATTTGCACGATTGAGCATACGTTTAGCAACTATTAAACGACTATTCGACAGACTGTTACTTAATTGTGGCACTGGTAAACCTAACAGAGACATAAATGATGCATTATTGCAACATATGAATTACAATATTAGTAATAATTACTAACCATGTCCTTCAACAATTTCAGCTGGTACAGACATAGCACCTAAATACATAGCATTTCCATGCATTTGAGCATGACTGAAACGATAGTGCGGTCTTTGTTGATTCTGCCATCCTTGATTTTGTTGTCCTTGACTTTGCCCACTATCATTGTTTCTTTGCCCAGGCTGAGGAGGTGCACTTTGCACCAAATGTATAACTTTGCCATTTACATCTAAATGTATAATTTCATTTTATTAAATTTAATCGATTTAATTTATTAGAAATAAAAATGAACATTCATTGTTAATCTTTACCATAGTCATTCAATTTCTTATCATCTTGAAGAACTCTTCCACAATAAATAAGTCTTTGTGAATCAGCCGGCACAGCTACAGATTCTGCTATATGTTCTTTAAATCTGCGAACTGTAATTTGCTGTGGAATGCAAAGAATCATTACAAACATGTCTATTCCAGTAAATTATGCATTTCGAATGTTCTAGAAAAATATTTACATTCGAAATAATTCAAAGGGGGACTATTAGAATCAATTAAAATCCAATAATCTTCACATGTTATATTTATATATATATATATGAACTGTATAGTTTCTTATCATAAATATATATATATATATATATGTATGAAGTAACATGGAAGAGAAGTAAAAAAAAAATCAATGAATAGATATAGCTTAGAATATTCTTTTACATAGAAGAAACCTTTGTTCATGATTCAACATACATATAAAATTACAACATTATATTACAAATCTAAAAATACATGTGTATCCTTTGTGTTCATAGAATAATAAATTAAGAAAAAAAAAAAAAAAATAATAGTTAATTAATATTTATACGCACAGAAATAAATTACATAATATTTTCTTTTCTTATTTGTTTCTTTTCTTTTATTTTAATTAAGCTTCTTAGATAGCCATAAATCAATAATTCCCTATACAGGATAATGTCAAATCAATAAAATTAATATTAGAGAGAATTCGTAAAAGTAAAAGAACGAACGAAAGAAAAATAAAAAAGAACAATGAGTAGAAGTGCATATGCAATGATATAAAGATATTATAGATAATAAACTTACGTCGTCTTCCAAAGAGAATGCATGATTCTGCGAATCTAAAGTCTTTACCGTAAGGTTGATCATGATTGATCACAATGCGGATCAAAACGGTCCTTCAATATACTAAAATAATCAAATTTGATATATAACGACGTTGTATCGCGAAACGTTTGGATGTTAATTAATCGAATAATAACGTAATATGAATCAAAATCTAATCTCACGATGTAGAGGAGTGATGCAGGTGTAATAGGTGACCAAATGATTTCACAAGAGTTATCAACGATGTCGGCTAGGTGCTACAAATAATATCTTATTCACGAAAATTTATCGCAATTAATTAAGCAAATAAATGATTCCGTTAATTAATAATGATAATAACACGTTTGAAAATCAGTTCACTCCGTTTTTCGATCGCATAGTTTGACTTATTTGAACAAAATTTCTGGATGTCAATGTAATTCACAGTAACGGGCAACACGACACACGTTATTCTACCCAGAATTCTCTTTACTATCGACACAAGGTGCGCAGCCAACATAAACGAGCTAGTAATCCCTATGCCGAAGTCGGCCTCTCTTTTTTTTTTTTCTTTCTTTTTTATTTTTCCCTTCTTTCTTAAATATTAAAAAGTAGCGTCATCTACGTCTCTAGAATTCCGTTTGGTAATGCGAGAGAGTGTGAGAGAGAGAGAGAGAGAAAATGAGAAATAATACGTGATTCATCGGATTTGAGAACCACTGATAACAAGCGTAGTAGTTTCCACGTTTTACCGTGAGATGGCTCGCCTTGTTCGTCCCGCTTCATGCCTGACTCAATTTAAATCCCACGTGAGACACACAGCTCACTTTTAGAGGTTTATTTAAATTCCATTGAGCGACGTAGATCGCGAGAGACGTGCGTAGATCAGCTGATTCGAAAACAGAGCGTGTATTAACGACGATAAAAGGACGTTAAGACTTCAACTAAAGCCTGTACAATTAGGAAAAGTACTGCATTGACAAATAACATGGAGGATTGCGTATATACAACAGCAACGTTCCTAGCACGCCTAACGCATAATTATGCGTTGCACGAGATTTTAACGGTTGGTTGGTTGGATGGTTGGTTACTTGCTTAGATTCATTGGTTAATACTTATTTGTCGTAGTTGACGAATAATAACGTGGCGAATACGTAGATCGCGATAAGAGCTATAGTAAATACCGTTCCTACTATACTTCCTCGCCTTCTTCGTAAATGCTAATTAAGTATAATCTAACAACTCCTTAAGTCTCTCGATCGAGCACGTATTAAATTACATTAATTGACGTTCTACGACGAATTACAAATTATCGCATTATCGTAGAAACGATTTGCTACTGCGAGAAAATTCGTTGTAATAGCAATAAAATAATAATAGAGTATATGGTTAGTAGTTTGTCAATCATTTTCCAGAGAAATAAGAAAAAGAGGAACAAAAAAAGGGATCTCTAAGTCTTAAATCGACTACCGGTTGTTTGATCTTATCTTTTAAAGATTCCGCAATAATTAGAAATCATTTTTCATTTATTTTCCAGAAAGTAATCCCGCCAGGAAGAGAAGAAAAGTTATGAGAGAGACGTTAGAGAATTTCCTGGATAGTTGGCGCCAACTGTGACCTCCTTTAATGAGGCATGCTCGAGGAAGGCACGCGTTTAACTGGCACAATGTTTCTTGCGGAGAGCTCTACTCACGCTACTTGTCTGTTAGCTGATCCCCTCTCGTAAATTATTCCGCGAGGGATCAAGGCCCCGCGAGTAACAATGAACTTTTGGTGCCCTCTCATAATGTCGCGTCATCGCGAACAAATTCAATGTCATCAAATTGCTTATGTATATCGGACTCTATGTCTGCGCGTAAGTATACGTGTACCTAAAAGTATGCCTAACAAGAATGAATATGTTCCTTTCATCTTTTTATCTATTCTTCTTATACTTTTTTAGAAATAGTAGACAAATAAAAAGCGCGTGATACGAATTTTTGATGAAACAATGCAACGTGGTAAAATGCATTCATCCATAGGGACGCTTTAACGATGATAACAACCGACCTCTCGAGAGACGCTACGTCGATATTTCGCGTGAGATTCAATATTGTAAATGAAAAAAAGATGAAAAAAAAAAAACAGAGAAGAAGAAGAAGAAGACTCTCGGCGATCGCATTATTCAGATTAGGGCATCGACAGAGAACGAACGGCTGCGTGGATATGTGAGAAGAAACATGTCCTCTATTTCTTTCTCTCACATGAACGCAGTGTGTGAGACGTGTGTAGACATTTGTATCGGTAGAAGATAATGCATCTGATCGTGTGCACAAGCAAAGAATGTTAATGGTGGTTCGGTTTTGTATGCAGGAAGTGACGGCCGTCTCTTGTGTCGTGTAGCGGGGCCTGGCGCCCGGTGTCCGCTCGGAAAAAAGCCCCCTAACGTAAATGCTGCGATAAAGAGAGAAAGAAAAAGAAGAAAAGTGGGAGGGAGGAATATGAAAAATTGACGGATTCACCCATAGCCGCGAACCGAGGAGAGCGGCAGCAAGTTGCTCTTTTAAATCTCATCGTAAACACGCGTTCACACAGTGGCTCTCATATTCATTTATAGAACTATTTTATTTTAAGGGATGCTTTATTCAAACTTAACAAATATATTTCTTCTCGTCGATAATTATCTCTACTTGAAAAAGAATGAAATAAAATAAAAGTAGATAAGTCAATTTTTGTTCAACTTGACTTAATTATAAGCGTTACTTCTCCTTGATACAAGTCGTAGTTTATGATATTGTAAAAATAATGATAAATAATAAAATATTGATAACAAAAAGTATGATGAAGAATGAAAAAGGTAGGAGCACGTGTGTCGTTACGTGGCAAAATTCTGGCAGGTAGCTCTGAAAAAAATATGGCATATATGTATATTCTAATTCGCTACCGGTCTTTTCGGTCCCTCCTGTTAATCGTTTCTCCTCTGTTCAGAGACTCCCCCGTAAGCCCTCGGGGTTTCGTCCTGTTCCTCGTCATCGTCGTATTTCTTGAACAACAAGAAAAGGGAGAAGTTTACGTGTGCGTGTCTTGCTAACTATGCAAAACGTAGAAAGATATCCAGGAGTAAGTAGCAGCAGGCCGAGGAAGAAACGATATAACCGCATCAAAAAGAGGAGGAGGAGGAGGAGGAGGAAGAGAAGCAAGAGGAAGAAGACAAGCAACAAGCGAAGAAGAGGACGACGAGGATGATGATGGTGGTGTTCACGTGTCGTTGTTGTGGTGGTGGTGTTGCCACTGCTGTTGAGAATCCCGTGTCTCGGTGAAGGTAACTGTGTGTGCGTTGGCGCCAGGTCGCATTCTCGCATTCGTTAACCAACACACATCACCAGCCGTTAAACTTCTCCCTTCTCTTTTCTCTCCGCTCTGTGCTTGCGATCAAATAGCTCGTGCCTTGTTTCTCTCGACGGTACTTCTTCTTCTTCTTCGTTTTCTTCTTCTCTTTTTCTTCTTTTTCTCCCCATCTCTTTCTCTTTTTACTTATACCATCCTCCTATGTAGAGATATTAAGAGCGGTCACGGCTCCCGAATTTGCCAAGCGCGGGACGACGGGATCCCGATTTGTCCTCGTCTCGTTTGCTAACCGCAGGTACGTGGCGAAACGACCGGTTTCTTCCTACGGTCCGGTGCATCGGTCCATGCATCGATGTTTCGGCATGCAAAGTGTCCTCCCCTACCCTCTCCTACCCATCCTCGCCAAACGCGAACAGACAGAGAGATGGGATCGCTTTTGGAAATGATCGAACCGAAGGGTGGATAAACATTTTGTCATCAAAACAACAGGACGCTAACTGTGTCATGACTTTATTATTATGTATCTACGAACTTTATTTAAGTATAATCCTCATTAACTATTCTATTATCTATTATATACTACTCAACCAAGTACAAACGTTTTCATCTAACTCGTGTAATATCGCGGTTTTTCAATTTGAAATGAAAATTCTTATTACGTTATTATTTTATAGTAGCCAAAATTGATTCTAATCTACGCACTAATTGTAAGTTTAAAATGAAAGAGATAATAATCATTTTCAGGCCCAATCGGGGGTATAAAGTAGCGAAGAGAGGAGGAGAAAAAGGAGGAGGAGTAAAATTCAGTGATGTCAGTTAGAGAAAATCATTTTATCTTGAACGATCGTGCATAAGTCGAGTCGTTGAGACATGACGCGTCACCGAGTAGTCCGACACCTACCTAAATCTACGGACGGCCGCGCTCTTAATAGCTACATCCGTCCGTCGTGACTCGACTGACATCCGTAAAGATCAGAGTAGTAGCATCGCGACGAAGATGACGACGACGACGACGAAGAAGAAGAAGAAGAAGAAGAAGAAGAAGAAGAACCGAACCCGGCATTCCAAAGGAGCTCACGTCGGTTCGTCCACCTCGAAATCCGTTCGCGCCCTCTCCTCGTTTTTCATTCGTTCTGTGAGAGTTGACGCCTCGAAAAAAATATACCCCAGCTTAAGAAGATCCTAAAGAAGAAATCACTTTTTTTTCTCTCCTTTCTTCTTTTTTTCTTTATTTTTTTTTCTTCCTTTTAGTTTTTTTACATTCGAATTAGAAGGCATTCAGTAGGTAAGAATTCAGGACAGGGACAAGGCAACTTACCTGCGATAGAAATGGAGCATCGTACACTTAACTTCTAGATGGAAAGGAACGGGAGAAAAGGAAGATAACAAGAAAAAGAAAGAGAGAAGAGTCACTAATGACTTCCTGGCACCGGCGACGTCTCCCGTCGAACTTTATTTATGGTTTTCAGGACAGCGCATACCGTATGCATGGCGCTTACCTTCAAGCTTTCTCTTTCTCTTTCTTCCTTTATTCAAATCCAAAGATCTTATAATCAAACTCGACGTGCATTTAATTCTCCTATATTTATTTTTTCTTTTAATGATTAAATAAAAATAACAAATAATTCATCTCTCTTTCATATTGATGCGTAAAATTAAATTGACGAATAACAATTGTCAATTTCACGAAGTACGAATTCTTCCGTTTAGAATTAGATTCGTGAACCATATCAAAAGGTCAAATGTCTTTTAATCTGTAAGTAAGAATGTCGATTTGTCTTTTTAGTAACAACGAAACAAAGTTGCACAAGTCAGTCGTACGTATGCACGTTTGATGCTTCAGTTTCTTCCTGGCTCAAAAGTCTTTTTTTATTTTTGATTAGATAGATATTATTGACAATATCCTTTCTTTAGTTAACAATTGACTTGAAAAAAAGATCCGATCGAATTGATTTTTATTGAAAAAAGGAAACAAGTTGAAATGTCGATATACAATGTTAAGATTTTAAAGAAGAGTAACGAAAAAGAAAAAGACACAGGAATGTGTAATATCGAGGAAGAAAAAAAGAAAGAGAGAGAGAGAGAAAAAAAGAGAGAAAGAAAGATAAAAGTTAGAAAAGAAATTATCTGGTATTTTCTTAACCAAGTAGTTGTCCGAAGCAAAGGTCAAAAGTTAAGCAACGCTCTTGTTATCGGTGCAAACAGCACAGTGTTCACATATGCAACGATGCGATCATGATGCTTTTCGCTAGATCAATGAAATTAATTCAAACGATATAAAGATATGTAAGACCGAAGAAAATGATACATGTGGCTTTACATTGAATAGAAAAACAACAACAACAAAATTCATAGAAGATATGTATATATGTACTTTATTTTCTTCAAATGGAGATTTCCGATGATAGGATCGATCTCGAGACGTTTCTTGAAGAGTCGATTGACGGAAGACGAAGTCTGCGGTTAGGACAACACGGACATCCATCCATCTGTCTACTATGTTACTCGCTCTTTCTCTCTCTATTTTTCTCTCTCATTCTTCGTCTCTTTGTAAGCAGCACGGCTACCGAGTACGCGCTCGAGCCAAGGCGAGAGGAATAGAGTGGGAGAAAGACGGATAAGAGAACGAGACGAGGTCCAACGGGAGGAGGACAGAGTGAGAGTAGTAGGCCGGGCTCGTCGTGAAGCAAGAGAAAGAGAAAGATAAAAAAGAAAGAGATAGAGTATACTGGGTGCTAAGAAAAGAGAGAGAGCAGGCATAACATACGATCCATACGTGTATAGTAAAGAGTCCTGCGAGAAGGAAAAGGAGGAGGAAGCAACGGCACACAGTAGAGCAATACCAGTGTTAGTAGTAGTAGTAGTAAAGTAGTAATAGCAGCAACAAAAGCACCACTAGCAGTAGCAATAGCAGTAGAAGCAGAAGCAGAAGCAAAAGCAACGAAGGAGAAGAAGAAGAAGAAGAAGAAGAAGGAGAAGCCCGAGAACGTTACCTCCCGGAGGCGCGGCGCCGACGACGTTGCGACTATAAGTAAGTCTCGCGCGTCGCGTCGCGGCTTAATGCCATAGCCGCGTCCGTGGCGCCAAGAGGAGGGCCCCCTGGCGACGATAAGCCTTCTTGCTTGCCCGTCGCGAACACACACAGAAAAAAAAAAAAACAAGGATAGAAAGAGAGAGAGAGAGACAACGGGTAGCTTTCACCCGCGTTTTTGAGCAGAGCGTTATATACCCCGCGCAAGATGTGGATCGCGACAGTGTAGATAATAGCGTGGACTAGCACGCCGGTGGTGTGTGCACGTCGTCGTCTGGTTTTAAGTCCAGTTAACAATTCAGTGTGTTCCTCGACAGTCCGGGCGTGCTTGTCACACTTTTTAATCCTATTCTCTTATTTACCGATGTCCAATTATTTATGGTGATTATTTTTTTGTGTGATATCGCATTGATTTTTCTTTTCCCTTGATTATTGCCGTTCTAACGAGATAACAACATCAAATAAAACGAAAGACAGCGTGTTTTGAAGAAAAATATAGAATCCTTTTAGTACATGTCATTGTCATTAAGTTACACTTTTACTATCGGAACTGAAATTCCGAACGAAGAGGGAGGTTTACGAGCGTTCACCAACAGCTCGACGATTTACCCTCTGTTAAATCGCAAGGAAGTCTTCTTTGGGATTGTTAAAAGAGGAGAAGGAAGAAGAAGAAGAACAACAACAAGAGGATTAAGCAGAAGTGTTTAGAGGTGTCGTTCTTGTTCCTTGTCATAAATAAACCCTTTTTCTTTTCATCTTTTTCGTACTTGGTTTCGAACTGAAATTATCCTTTACCGCGCGTGTCTGTCTCGTCATTCGAGTGTTCTGTGTATAAAATCGAGATCTACGTGAAGGTATATTATCATCATCATCGTCATCATGTCGGGGTTACTTTACACACTTCTCGGACTCGCGGCGAGTACGAGTCTTCACTGTGCTGTAAGGCGCGAAATAAGTCCATGCACCTGCCGACAAGAGGAGTTCCCCAATCCCGTTATCAATCCACCTCAGAATACGGGCAATGTCGGCAACAATGCTCCTCCAGCACCTCCTCTTCTTCATCACGGGGGACACGGGGAACGCATCGAGGTCGCTTGCGAACGTATGGACTCCTTCGAACAACTAGCCGATGCTCTTAGAGGGAAGTTTACTCCTGAACAACAAATCACCCTTAAAATTACTCATTCCAATCTCAGGGATATATCGCGGCACGATTTTAAAGAGCTCAGAATGTCAATCACCAGGCTCGAATTAAAACACGATCATCTCGGGTGAGTTATTAATTTGTACTTTGTATTATTAATAACAATAAACAAAGTTAGAATCAAGTTATATATAGAATAGAATATGTAGAAAAAAGTTATAACATTTATTTCAATTGTAATATGAAAATAACTTTCTAAGTATTGTTAATACTATGTTAGAAACAAAGAGACTTATTTGAAATATTATTTGTTATATTATAGCTCGGGAAATTATGATTGATAAAACGATATCATTTGAATAATAATTATATGATTAACTAATTCAGTAAATCATGACCTCAACTCGTGCTATCTCTCTTATCGTTTTCTTTGATCGTACGTAAACCGATGGTGAGAAATGTTTTTCACCATCTCTTCTTTTAACCAATTGAAATCTGATCACACTCCCCTATTCGCGCGAGCGCGTTCATATATACTTAACTATATCGCTCCAAATATTTTCCCTCCCTCCCCCGTTTCTCGTTTCGTTCATCTATTACGCGTTTGACGTTTTACAAGTGCTACGATATTATCATTCTCGTCATTTCGCCCAACTACGATAATAAAAACAATAACATTAGAGTTTGTAGATTATCTAAACGACAGGGAATTAACGCGTATTCACAAATATGACACGCGTACATTGATATCATAGGACTCAATTATCGTAACGAACATTGAATAAAAATTTTTTCCTATAAAACTAAAACACATTATTGTGTGTGATAAGTTCTAATTCATAAACAAAAGGAAAATAAAAAATAGATTAGACGTTTATCTTGCTGTTTAACAGAAACACGCCGTAGTAATGATGATGGTGGTGGTGGTGGTGGTGGTGGTATCCCTGAATTATCTCATTTCTTAGAAAAAAATGATCCTTCTAATTTTTATCCTGAACAAGACAAAGAACGTCTACGTGTACACCGGTCTTCCTTGATTATCCTGCCGTGCATACCACGAGAAACGAAGGAAAATGTGAGTCCTTGAAATGCGGACGATCTTCGAATGCGAAAAGGCGCGTTCTCACGAGCTAAGAGAAACATAGAAAAACACGAACGTAAGAATGGAGTCTTATAATCGTTGACCTTTTTGAAAGAGTTATCTTAGGAAGCCCTGCGTTTATCATCTTGCAATAATTAAATAATGAAACGGTCCGCGAGTCTAGCAGTTAAGTGAATAATCCTATGATAGTGATCATACACCCCTTCCCCCTCATCTCCACCCTTTTCACAACAACCTATCTAAACGCTTACGCTGTTGTCCTGCGATTTTTTGACTTTTGATTAAAAGCAATTCATTTTAATTTCAATTATTTCTCGAGACGGACAGACGATTGTGATAATTGCAAAATTCGCGTCATACGTTTTCCTTAGACAATTAATTTGAAGCTTTCAATCAATCCTAAACTCGTTCAATTTTTAATCTCCTATTGTTTAAATTATTTTTAAAATTAAATAAGAGTACAAAATATGATAAGAATAAATTTGGAAAGTGACACATTACGTATATATATTGTTCATTGATTCTCGAATAGGCCACGTGTTTCGCAGGACAAGCTCGCGTGTGTGAGAATAAATGCGTGCGTGGTTTAAACGCAAGAAGAAAGATAACGCGTTATCGAAAGTAGATGCCTTTCCAGCTTCTCATAAAAAGAAAGTTTCGATTTTGTTTATCACTAGCTTATCTTTTGAAAGATTAATATCCGAAAGTTAAGAGAAAAGAAAAAAAAAAGATTGAATTTATCAACACGAACTATTATGTTATTTTGAAGGCTCGTTGATGATAAAGTTTTTGCTGGCTTGGAACGGACACAATATTTAAGTATTGCTGATAATGATGTCCCAGCGATACCAAGACACATTTTATCACATCTTTCATTACTGAGGACTTTGGATCTTAGCAGAAATCACATCAGTCGTATCGATCTTGACGATTTTAAGGTAAGTAATTATAATAATGTAATTAATAAATTATTTAGATTTTTATCAATAGATTATTTATTACACGCTTGATAATATAATCGTTGTTTTTCTTTTAATGCATGAGTAATGCATCGTAGAAAGAAAAAGAAAGATTACACGAAGTTTGTTTTTCAAAGAACTTGACGGAATATTTGTATATATGCATATGTGATCGTATATATATATATATATATATATGTATATACCTATATAACGTATTCTTCGCACGCACACGTGACGATTCACGTGCGTCGAATTACCGCGACAATGTTAAAGTTGCAATTGATGATTCGCGATTCTAAGCGAGTAGGATCGTTTATAAACGAGTGCCTCGTGTCTCAAATGCACGTTTCTTTTACTTTACGTATTGTATTAAAGAGTTGTTGTTACAATTGGACAACTCAATTCGACATGCACTTAACCCTTTAAATCTATCGATCTTATATTTGATCTAATCTTCCGTTATTTAAAGATTTAATAAAAAGATAAAACAAGAATAAGGGGTACTAGCATTAAACGTGAAATTGAATTTTTTTCAACATCTTTTACTACAATATATATATATATATATATATATATATATATATATAATTTTTACAATTGAATGCAAATGATTATCAATTTGGTATTAACTTAAGTAATAATAATAATAATAAATGTTCAATTTTGATCGGTCACGATTTAATATTAATGCAAATTTATGTTTGTACGTGTACCTTAAATTATTTATTATTTAAAAGAATGTTTCGATTTACAATATCAAAATCATTTTGGTTGTTCTTATTGCAGTATAATCCGACGTTGCAGCATCTGTCGATGGCAGGAAATGCCATCTCCGAGATGGTACCAGGTTCCTTACCACCGTTGGTGAAACATCTTCACGTAGGCCGAAACCGGCTTCACACTTTGAATCGTACTTTACGGTAAGAGTTAATCTCTTCGTTTAATCGAATAATTATTTCATTTTTCATGTTTGTTTTCAAAAAGAACTAGTAATAATTAGACAGGTAATATAATAGATCTATTGCTAACAATTTTCACGTTATACTCTCACGGTATACAAAATGATATTTACTATTCTGATAGTACCATTTATCTAATTGGCTCTATTCATCATCGACTATGTTACAAACGAACTCTTTGATCGAATCGAACGATTAAGACGAGGACATGTGCAAGAGAAGGATACAATTAAGATCTCTAAGAGTTATCACGTGCATTAACTTTTATCGATTAATGCGTATTATTTTCAAAAGACAAACAATGCATTAAAATTTAGTATTTTTGGCATATTAAATGCTAACAAGACAAATGTGATTTAACAATTTTGTTAAATTATGCAAATAGGGTAACACAATAATTCTTTGTTCTATATATAATAAAAATATTTAGTTATTCATTTATAATATAATTAATTTAGTAATAATTAGTAATATATATAATATATTATACTAATAATAATATAATATACTAACTATTTAGTATTACTACATTATTATATATTACTATACTATTATATTACTATTTATTTTATACTACTATAATGTAGTAATAGTTATAATGTAGTTATATAGTTGTAATAGTAATATAATATAGTTATAAATAAATATTTAGTATAATAGTATAATACACTAAATATTTACTATTACTACATTACAGTAATATAAAATGTCAAGCTGCTTGAATTTACTCAAATGCTTGTGTTATGGGGTTAATCGTTACATAAAAAAAAAAAAGAAAAGAAAAGAAGTAAAAGAAAAACTAGCCTTTGATCTTTTATCAATAGAGACATAGATTTTAAAATATGTTCACTTTCTCTCACAACAGATACTAACATATCTAAAGCTACAAAGATAAAAAGAGTGAGATAAAAAGGAAGAGAAAGAGAGAAAGTAGGAAAATAAAAAAAAAAAAACAGAAATAAAAAATAAATGAAATATGTCTTTCCATTTCTTAGTGATCTGAATCAACTGGAATGGTTGCTCGTAAATTCGAACGAGCTCACATCGTTGGACGGCGAATTACCGTCCTCGGGGCACAATTTAAAAATGTTATACGCCGTGGACAATAAGCTGACTCATCTGCCGATGGAGTTTCGATATCTTCACCGTTTGGAATCTCTCTTTCTTCAACACAATAAGATAACTACGTTAGGTGGGGCTCTACAAAAGGCACGACGTCTCAAGTTTCTCGAGCTTTCCTACAATGAATTGGAAAAGGTAACATTTTTAACGATACTACACATATTATAATGAAAATTTCCCTTTTTATTCAAAGATGGGGAAGAAATCATTATTTATAATAAAGAAAAATTAAATACAACTAATTTATTGTAAACAAAAAAAAATACTGGTTAAAAATATTTGAAAATGTTGACTTTGAATTTGAAATGTTGATAAATAGCTATCTATTTTTTCTTTTATTTTTTGTATAAATGTATTTAAGATTAAAAAAAAAAACCAGAACAAAAAAGGTGTTGAACAGTTTGTTTTTATCAAGTTAAAAGTGTAGAAGAAGAACCCTGAGGGCGTCATATCGAGCACGCGCGGATACATGTAAGAATTCGTACTCGTGTTGAAGCGTGTCTCTTACATACACATATTTCATTCTCTCTGTCTCTTTCTGTTTAACGTGTAGAAGCCGCAAACAGCATCTCTCTTCTTCCTCTTCTTCTTCTTCTTGTTCTTCTTATTCTTCTTCTACATCGGTATAAGCAAGAAGGGACTCCTCCTCGCGCGGAGGCGTCTCTCTAGAGCGTGCCGTGCATTAAGTCAATTACCACAACGTAACATAATTATTATGCCGAGTAGTTCCGTCGCGCAGATTAAAGCTTCATTCGAGCGGACGTTTATCGGATAAATTCTTTCTCAGCCCCCAACTACGAGTAAGATCGGCTTATCTGTAGAAAGCGATTCTTAAGGGGCTTCGATCTCGACGTTTACGATCATATATCATGACGCGAGCTTATATGATGTTCTTCTCTTCTATTTTTCATTTTTATTTTTTATTTTTATGGGGGTTCGAGCATGAAAGAAGAAACTACGAAAGCCTATGTGCACATACTTACGCCGCTTGTTATTAAATGCGTCCATTATCGAGTGAGGAAACTCGTTCATTTTTTTTCTCTCTCTCTCTCTCTCTTTCTCTCTCTTTTCAAATCGTCGCGACGCGTATTTTATGTTACTCATTAGGCATAATAATGTTGATACATTTTAAATATTTAAGAAAAATAACTTTGTTTCATATGATTGTTAATGTGTAGAATTAGTTTTTAAAAAGAGGGAAGCTCTTTATTAAGTTCGTAGAAAAGAGTTTGAATGTTTTTCTTTCAGTTGAAGGAAGAGGACTTCCTGGAAGTTGAGATGCTGGAAGACCTCGAACTTGGACATAACTCTTTGAAATCTCTTGGCGGTAATAACGAAGATGGAAGTGGGGCCAATAGTGCCCTTTACCCTTTAAGGTCTCTCAAATGTCTTAATTTGACGCACAACGAGCTACAAGAGTTCTCATTCGCTTCGTTACGCGGTTTGCGTGAGCTGCGATTACTCGATCTTTCTAACAATAAAATTGCATTGTTACGTAGAGGAAGAACACCATCGGAGGTAAGCAACATTTTCTTTTTTTTATTATAGTAAATACTGCATATTTTAAATATAAAATATAATTTGTACATTTTTTGAACAAAGTTCTATCGTAAATTACTATACATACATATATAACTCTATAGTTTATAAGAATACCAACGTTTATGAATTATGATATACTTTATCATTCTTATGGTGCATTAAAATTATAACAAAATAATATATTTTATATAATAATATATATTTCATATGAATGAAAAAGATCAATTGGATTTTTGTAGAATTTAGTTGAAGAGGAAGGTGACGAGATAACAGGTGGTAATATTCAAGACATGCGACTCCAACACAATGAGCTTACAAAATTAGAAGGTTCTTTATTCGTCGGTATGAAGGAACTTCAAAAACTCAATTTCAGTCATAACGCGCTTGGTCCAACGATATCATTTAATGATCTTCGTGGTCTCGATCGTCTTCGAGTTCTCGATTTATCTTACAACGAACTCATCTCTCTCGGGGATACTTCTGAGGTAAGTAAAAAAATAACAAAAAAATATATTATTTGGTTTGTGTTCTTTCTTTTATTTTTATTGGTGATTTAAACGAATTCTGTGATATAATCAGACATGGTTGCCTGCCTTGGAAGAATTAAACGCTTCGCATAATCAATTGGTTACGCTCTCTGGTCGAGATTTCCGTGGTTTTCCTGTACTTTGTAACGCAGACGTTAGTGCGAATATGATTCGAACACTGATGCCAGAATTGGTTGCAAATACACGTTGCACGGTTCACGGTGTTCCAGAAGTTGTACGTATATACCTTCAAGGTGAGTTATCTTCCATCATTCTATTATTTTATTTTTAATTAACACTAGATATACCAAACCAGTCATTTTGACTAATCAGGCCATTTTAATTCAAAGTTTCTACTTCATAAGTAGATAACTTCTGTAATAATTTCAAAATGTCTATAAATCCATTTATCTATTAAAATTATTATTGTTAAATATTTGTTTGTTATTTTTTAAGAGTAAATAAAGACTGGAAGCCTTAAAAAGCATTTTTTCTTATACACCAGTCATATTGACTAGTGTGGTAGAAGTAGGTATACTGAAAATGGTGGTATATCTAGTGTTAATGGAATATAGATCATAAGAATTTTGTTTCTTTCATATTTTTTTTTTTTTTAACCGAGACACTTAAACATTAATTTAATCAACAACAACAACAACAAATTAAGAGAAAAAAACCATTCAAAAAATCATGATCTTAGTTCAATTGACTTTTCACCCTTTCAATGATTAGATCAGTCGACACGCATTTACTGAATGGGCACCAGTATGTAATTAATAAACATGTCGTTTAGACGAACGAAGTAAGAAAGATGAAAAAGAAGATGAAAAAAGTATGGGAAAGAGAGAGAGAGAGAAAGAGAGAGAGCGAGTACAAGTGGCGGCAGAAAATAAATTATTCCCTGATAGCAACGTGATTCCATTTGGCGCCCGAGCGAGGCGTACATACATTATTTGTTACAAGGAGTTACATTTATCGCGATAACCCTTGCGTTTGTGGCGCCATCTTGCATTATTTATTGTATCGTACGTGGCTGATCATGCTTGTTATTATTGTTAATACATTGGCTGCTTAGCTGTTATCACGACCCTTTCACGTTATCTCAACTAGTCTCGATATTTTTTGGACTCCTCTCTTTCTCTTACCCATTCTAATTTTTTTTTTTTTACTTTGTTATACTCGTATAAATACTCACCGTTGACTTTTTTGTTTTTATATTGTATCCTAAGAGTTTGCATAATGTCAGATTCAAAACGTGAACGGAAAAAAAATGTAGATATGTGTACTTAGTTTGTTATAAAAATCGAACACGAGACATATCGATCTAATCAATGTTTTGAAGTCCATATTGAAGTCCATATTATCAATGAGACGTTAAAAATGATCATACGACAAGCCATAACTTTGTTGTTAACGAATAAATACGATAATGAGTTTAAAATTCTTGGAATTTCTTATTATAGACAATCCGGTACTATGCGAGCCGGGTCTGGCTGACCTGACTGTTGCCCTCGAGGTAAATCATGCAAAGATTTTTGGAGTTGCGAACAATTGTGAAACAACGACGTTGTCAACAATACTGGGATTGACATCATCTTTACCACCCTTACCACCGACACTTTTATTGGCAGCTGCTGAGGCAGCCTCGGGGACTAATGTTTCCTTTGCAGCGACCCTCGAATAATCCTTCTTAATAGTTAGAGGGATTAAACTTGGTCGACCTGGAGTAAGTCAATAAAAAGAAGCGAGTACATCGCCTCGAAGGAGTTACTCGGTGTGTTTATTCCGTACCTGGAAAGCACGAAGGAAAAGTATCTCAAGTTCGTTCGGAGCCCGATAGAACGAATCAGAATCATTTCGACGAAAGTATCGTCGAAATAATCCAACATCACATTCTGGTTAGTTAAACTCAACATACACAATGACTGAGGAGAGATTTCGTGTTGCTACCGATATTAGAAACATATCAAATATTACTAACTTGTTAGTTCGTGAACAGTGACGAATCATGTCCTTTTTTTAAATGACATATGTATGTAATATATAGGTATATACGGTATTAAGATCCCAAGGTAGTTTCATTTTTGATATGCAAACTTACTTTTTTCCAAACGTATGCACCATAATACATATATATATATATATATATATATATGTATACTACTAACGTGGTCTATCTAGTTGAACAGAGAGAGAGAGAGAATTGTTGCTTCTTGTATACCGTTTTAAATGTATATAACCTTGAAGCTTTTTTTTTAATCGATAGATAAACGCTTTTGACAAATACTCTGTATATGTCATCAATTATATTACAATAGAAACAGTCACGAATCCATGTGTGTGCGGGTCCGTTAATTAATTAAATAGAATTTCAACGTCTTAACGGATCATATTTATTTTGTTATACCGTCTGGCAATTGAATTATTTAAAAATTATTATTTTGATCCGTTTATTATTAAAAATATAATAATCGTGATTTTATGGAAATTAAAAACAAACGATTTATCATTAATCTCAGCTTAATGATTGACAATGTTTCTTGTATACAATGTAAATAACTTTCTTAATACATTTACGTTATCATTTCGTCGTTGATTCTATAAACTTGAAGAAAAAAATATGCGTTACCAACGATGAATACTAATGAACATAACAACAAATAAATTAACGGGTATATTATAAATTTGATTTAACAGACACTTTTCAACGATTCATTATAATTTACTTCTATTTATTCGGTCAGTATTTATCTTAATTAATGATAAATATTTTGTAAAATAAATTATATCACAATATGTAGGAATATTTAATTTTATAAAAAATACTGACAAAATAATAATATTTACAAATATTGTTAATAAAATACAATGATAAACAAATCTTTGACTAATCGGTTTAAATACTGACTGGATAAATACTAGCCATTAAAAACATATATATATATTTTGTTATATTTGTGAATAGCTCTTTTAAATTTACCAAGTAAAGTTAGAGAAAAAAAAATGGCGCGGGAACAGATATGTAATAAGTAAACAACGATCGAATTATTATGATTAGAATAGATTATCGAGAAAAAATGTAATCAATCATTTCTTCTCGAATCTAACGTATTATTAAATCGTTAATTAGTATTTTATTAATAATAATGTACCAAGTAAATATGATTTGACGAACACTAGAGTGTTGTTTCAAAATTATTTCTTTTAACGAGTTAAATACGACGATTCTGTTGAAAACGTTGCTAATTATGCTACTCGTTGGAATATAATATCTCTTTCTCTCTCTCTCTCTCTCTCTCTTTCTCTCTCTCTCTCTCTCTCTCTCTCTCTCTTTGTATGGAAATATCTTGTTAGTTGTCGTCGTTATTTATCATTCGAATCGTGTCGCCTGCTAGGTTTTAATCTTATCACATATGGTCAATACCGTGCAAATACGGCTGTCATTCTACGTAATAGTAAATCATCGATTCCCATCGGTCAGGCTTCGATCTATAATTAATTTCTTCGATAGCTGAGCTAACGATTGGCCCCATGGGTCAATGGAGTAAATGAAATCTGTTAGTTTAAGCTTTGCACACGATATTATAGGCTGATTGGAAGTGGGCGATCAATTGACCCTCTCGTTAACTAGTGCCAATAGGGATGAATTGTTATAAGCGTGTCTCTCTATGCATACATGATGATACATTGGCCCTTTCCGAGTAACATGGTCTCTTATATCGTTAGCAAATTTTTTCTTATACATTTATCGATACTTATGAATAATTCTAATGATGATCTAGATCAAAATCATTCTATAATTTCTTATTATTTAACCCTTTGCGGACTAACGCCGGATATATACGTTCTGTGTAAATCATCAAATTGGCCAAAGAACTCATGCGTTCCGCGAAAACAGTTGATAGAGTAGAGAAACGCATATATGTGTCCCACGTAACCACATTTAAGCAGAAATATGCGTTGGTAATTTTAAATGACTATCATGGCATGAGCTCGGTACCATGGTACGGTTCACTTCGAACCATCTCGTCTGCAAAGAGTTAAGAACGTATTATTTAACAGAAACATTTAATATAATTGTTCCTCAACATCCCAGTATATTTTGAAATTCATTCCATTTTATTTTTATCTGAAGTATTTTTTAGAACAGAAATTGATGAAATTATTCAAAAAAAAAAAAAAAATTTGAATTATAAATATTAGTCCATGTAGAAGACAGCTGTTAGCACCGACTGCTAGCTACATTAGCTAGAACTCAAAATCAAGATGTAATTTAATTGTTAAGTATTTTAAATTAGTTAACATTATGGGTGCTATGCAATATCTAAATATATAAGGAAAAATTGTTGATTTTAGTTTATCGTAGATTTTATTTCAACAAAAAAAATATTTCATTAGTATAAATAAATTGTTTTTCTTTCATCAGCGCACGAATGTTTTGTTTATTTTTATAAATAAAATTAGTTAACTGTTTAGCACCCATAATAACGGATGTAAAACTTGATTAAAATGTAGGTGCCATATATAAATATAGAAAAGACAAAGCAGATACCTGTTAATAATTTAGTCTTTAAGTAATTTATCTTTACTGTGATTTACAGTCTCTTATTTCCAACATAAATATATATCTAAGTAAATGAAAAACTAGGTATAACCAATACTCGTACTACATAATAAATATTGACAAATAAGGAAACACTATTGTAACAATGATAAAATTCAAATTTTAATAAGAACATACTAATAAGTGTATGGTTTGAGTGCTACAACAAATCGTTTTAGGTATTTCAATTAATTAATTTTTATTAATAAAGACTTTACTATTCTAATAATTTATATATATATATATGTATATATTATATATATCTTCCATATTATTATGAAATTATACAGTCAACGGCTTAGCCACGTTGGATTACTAGTTCCCGGCACGATCATTAAAGTCAACCCATGTGGGACATGGTTAGTAACATGGATGGATGACCTGTCCGGAAAAACAAAAGACAAAAACTGTGTGCTATTGACTCCAGAGAGGTTGAAAAAGATACGACCTCTCTGGTAGTATTGAATAAGTGTAAGAAAGTGTCATTATACTAGTAAAACAATAGTATTATAAATAAAAGCATTTAATATTTCAATTGAATATATTGTATATATTGTATAATTTCAATTTCCGTCCATATAATACTTTAAAAAGACAATCCTTAAAAGACAGAGAAATGCGGTGATGTTTGATACCCATGATTGGTCATGATCAAAGTCAACAGTGCCTTTTAGATCAATCAAGTGTTCTTTTTTAATCGTAGGGTGTATTTCCTTGACTATGAGAAAAATGAAGTATTAGTTAATTATTTGGATAGATATTTAGTTTTAATATTCCAAAAATAGAAACTTAAAATACATACCTTTCCATAATTTGTCCTCATTAATCAAATTTACATAATATTTATCCTTTGCATATTCATAATTTCTAAAAAATGATACCTTTACTTCATCGTAATCTTCCTTGTGTTCTATGTCAATACCAAAATTTAAAATAGATTTGTAAATATTTGTTGCTTTTTTAAGTGCATTCCACTCGTTGCATTTTTTCTCTCTTCTTTCTTGTACCTCTATATAAATATATATGTACATATAACTTTAAACATTCTTATTAAAGTAAATATAAACTTATATAGATTTTATGGAAAGAGATAGATACCTTGTTTCAAGTCAACTAACTCCAAAGATAAAGCGTCTCTATTTGTCTTGATTTCTGCTATATCTTTTTCTAATGTTTCTTCTTGGTTGATAGTATTTGTAATTTTTTTATCTACTATCTTTTGCTTTAACATCACATCATCCATTTTTGACTTTAATGTATCTAATTGACTCTTTAACTCTGATATCTTAACCATATACGATTTCTTTGTTTGTGCATATTCTGCAGAAAGAAAAGAAGTAAAATAATATATACTTTTTATTCCACACAAATCTTTCATAGACCAAAATAAGATTTGTCAATAATTATACAATGAATTTTTCACAAACATAATTAAGAAATATGTATTTCATTTGCAAGCTGCATTTGAAAATTAATTAATTATCAATCTAAAAAAAATAATTTATATTTATTTTTTAACATTTACCATTTTCACTACTCGTTGCATTTGCAAATTTCTGAATGATGTCTTTTCGAAATTCACTACAAAATGATGACAACTTTTCCAATATAGTAAAGTCACCATTTTGTAAAACATGAACCATATCACAATCGTATTTTTCGATTTCCATCTTGTACAATACACTGCATAATTAAGAAAAAACTAATTAATTATTATTTATAACGTGACAAGAGAATAACTGTCTAAGCGTACACAGCAGCCATTTTTGTACATTCAAACATTCAAATTTCCAATATTGCCAACATATCAAACAGAATACCTCTAACCTCTAAATGTTAAAGTTTCATATGATACATTTTATATTTATATCTAATCTTAAGTTACTTTTTTTTTACATTTTTAATATTTACTTTATAAAAATTCATTATATCAATGTATTATTTATGTCAATTAGTATTTCATTTGATTAATTCCTGTTACCAAAAATATTCAAATATTCTTATCCATTGAATTAAAATAATTTTTTTGTTTGTTTATTAATAATTATTTGACTTTAGCTAAAGATTAAAAGAACAAATTTTTAAAATACAGAACAATATCATAAAATATAATTCAATATATAGTAAATAACGAAGAATTACTGAGAAACTTGCAGATAAAGTGGTTAATGGATATTAATACACTATTATAAATATATCAATGTCCTACAATAACCTAGAAATTATTTCATATAATCATCTCTCATAATTATTATAGAATGAAAATTTTATGTAAAATATGATGATGATTATGATTATTATTAATTAACTTTATCTTGTACATCAGAAATGCATATCAGTATCTGGATCTGGATCTATTGGTTGCATGTCATTCCAACATGTTACCTCTACCATTTCCAAATTTCCGTCTTCCGTTAAAGTTAATAATTGCTTAGTTGAATTATCTTTAACTTTAACCATCATATCAACGTCATTATGCGTAGATGTTAGTTCTGTAGGATGCATAAAATTGTCATTGACATTAATATGCTGTAAAATTCTAACATACATTGGTTGATCCGAAGTAGATGTTTCATCTAAAATGGATAATTAATAACAATTTATATTTTATTATTAAAAAAAAAGAATATTCTCGTTTGATTTCATTTTATCAAAAATGTCTTCTAACGCTTACCATGTTCAAGAATATTTGGAATGTGTAAGTTTTCAGAATTTGCTAATCTTATTACTGGTATATTTTCATTAGTAATTTGCAATTGTGAATAAGTATGGAATGGTAACATAGGTATATTTTGCTGTACACTTTTTTCTATGTCAGACATTTTTGTCAGATCTTCGTTATTATCTTTTATAGAAACTTCTATCAGACAAAAATGATTATAAATCAATCTTTCTCTCTTTCTATTTTTATCTCATTAAAAATATACATGTTTAGATCCTTACCTTTTTCTCTTTCATGATCTTTTATAACTTCCATTTCGTTTTGATGCTTATGCACATCGCATTCATGATTTATTGCTTGATGATCTCCAGAGAATTGTATACCACATTTATCACAAAATATTTTCTGCTGTTTTATGTAATCTCGTATATGATGAATCATAAACGAGTTGTGATGGGTGGTATATTTACACTTATCGCATTGCATCCAAACATTTTTTTTACCTTTGTTATGGTCCATAGTATTAACGCATAATGTATCATCTTTTCTTTTAAAACGATTACAAGAATTACGAGTATTAGATCGTGTTATTTGAGGTGGTTGAGAAAGTTTAGGTTTTTCACTATTGTCAAGTAGCTCTCCTTCTTTTAATGAATATTTTTGTTCTAAAAATCGTAAAACATTTTCTCGAATACTACACATTTCTGTTTCCAATCTATCAAGTGTGTTAATAAGATTAGCACAGCTCCGACAAATCACATCATCTTCTGATATTACAATCATATACCTAAAATATATACATATACATATTCATTGTAATCAAAATTTGAATGATTAAAAATTACTGAAATAATTAAATTATGAAATAACAATACCTTTCGCCAACCAATTCTCCTAATTTTTCAATAACTTTAGACTTAGAACTTTGTGTTTTACATGTTGCTAAAGAATAATAACGTCCTTTTACAATTACATCACAAACAAAACATTGTAAAAATGGTGTTACTTGTGATTCATAATTCGTATTATCGATAATGGAATTATTTCCAGTACTATTAGAATTATTTTGATCCGCAGTATTAATTACTAACGTTGAACTTACAGTTGCCATTTGTAAAGTTAGATTATTTTGTTAAAATGGATAAAGATTGTAAAAAGAAATGAACATCGTTCGTTATTATATGTGTTTAATAGGTGTGAATTGAGACAAATATTGTAATTATAGAAAAAAATATTCCAAAAAAAAAAAAACCCAACTATATAAAATCTAGGAATTTATTTATAATGTAATACATGCGTGATAATATTTTTATATTACAATATTTTCAAGAGACAAATAAGAACGTATTTAATAATTTCAAGTTTATTTATTCATTGTCTACAGTGACATATTTCATTATATACTCATTTACATGATAATTAAAAATCAATATCTACCGTCTTTGTTGTTATTCCACATACCTGGGATTCACAAAGAATTAAATATATTTTTTTTTTTGCACAATTGTACTAAGAGATATTTATATGAAAAGTTTTTTTTTTTTTTTTTTTACAGCACTGTTTGTAATTTTTGTATTGCTGCTAGACATGTGCGTATGAAATGATTTTTGAATTACAAAGGAATTGAACATTATGAAGTTTATAAGAGTGATGTAAAATTGTACATTTCAAACATGCCCTTATTATACCACCAAAGAAAAACTAATGATGTATTAATTAAGTTTAGTACCATGTAATTACATTTTGGTTTTAATGAGAGCCATTAAAAACTTGATCATATTATACTAAATTTAGATTATATTATATTAAAATAAAAAATTTAGCGCATAACTTTAAACACTTGCGCTGGCGATGAATTCACCGTCATGCGAGCTACGAACGTCTCATTTTTATTTCTGTACTATTCCATAAAGAAGTAGTATGGAAATTCTGCGACAAAAACATCAGGACGAGTGTGACACATCTTTCCAGCGCAAATGATTAAAAAAAAAGATGACAAAAGACAAAAAAACGGAAAAAATTTCAATTGATGTACTTTTCTTAGCTCGTACAGCTGTGTCTTACTTAATATAGTTTTTAACTAAACATATAAGAAAGAAACATTACACTAGGTACAAGCACTGTAATCGTACATTTTCATTTCTTCCACAATATAAAATAAAACTTAATATTTAACTATTGTACGTACGCTAAGAGTTATTAGATTTAAAAGACAATTACATATAAAGATAATAATGTATGTAGAAAAGGGTATGAGTGAAACGTACTGTTTTTTATAACAATTTATCCAAGATAATTATATATCCACTTTCTCACATTTTATCTTTACATCTTGTTTCTTATTATTACTTTCATTATCATTTCCCTCGATTTTTTCGTTATCTCTTTCCTTTTCCTTTCCATGCTGTTGCTGTTGTTTTTTATCTGAATTACGAAAACGATCATAACGAGAATCCTCATCATCGCTGGATTTGGTTCCAGGTTCGGTTTCTCTTAATATATCACCTAAATCTTTATCAACATCATCCCATAATTTGACACCGCTGTCGCCATGATAATCATCATCATCGTCCTCATCTCCCTGACCATTTTTATTAACTTTTGCATTTTTTTCCGTTTCATTAGCAACTTTTTGTTCGGCGATTTTCACATTTTCTATAACATTGTTACTACCGTTACTACCAGATAATGGCTGAATACCACTAGTCGATGTAGGAGTTTCGGAATTCGTTGAAACTTTCGTAGTATCCGATGTGTTGATCGTATTGGAATTAGTACTTGTATTTACAGACGAAGATGTTTGAAGATGTATTCTTTCAGCTTCTCTTCTAAGTGCTTTATCGTCATTATCTCGTACATACCTATATATATATATATAGAAACGAAATTTCAAAGTAATTTATATATATATATATATATTTGTGTGGTCGTGTTATGTATTATATTGTATTATTTTATATTACTTTATTTTATATGATATAGCATGATAATGATAATAATATAATATAATTATTATTTACTTATATCAATTACCGTTTCAGATGACTTCGAGTGGAACAATGAAGCGCCACTGCTCTTTCACTATTTTCACTACGAGGCAGATAAACTTTACACAATTCGCAAAATTGTACTTCTACGCGTTTTATATACTCTGCTCCCACTTTAATCATTTGTTTATTCTTGGGCTTTTTTTCAGTCTCGCTCACATTTTCACCATCTGTCGGTTTTTCTTTCTTTTTATCGCTACTTTCTTCGTCCTCTGCAAAATGGTACAATTATTATATATTTGTTTTTATATAAAATCAGATTTAGAAAGAAAAAGGAAAATGTAAGAAAATTTTACATAACTTACCATCAACATCACCCACTGAATCTAAAGTCATAAAGTTGTCCAGATTGACTTCCTTATCGTCTTCCTCGGGAGCACTGGAATCTGCTTCAGGCTCTCCATTTCCAGTACTCATTCTTTCTTTCCATACGCTTTTCCTCTGCAAGGATAAAAGAAGAAACTCGAGTGTATCTTGGTACATATTTGTATAAGAAAATAATAATTGGATAAATTTGAAATATTTAAAAGGAAAAATTTACCTTTATGTGATCGAGAGAACACATATGTGTTTCGAAGAGCATTGGCGATCTGAATTGTATACGACAAACACGACAAAATGGTGTTAAGAATCGTTTCATTTGACGATGTGATTCGGATAATTGATGTACAGCTTTGATGGAACGATAGTTTAATTTGCATATAGGACAGAACATGGTACGAGAAGGTAAAGTGCCGCGAGCAGCATCGCGTGCTTCTACTCGTCGTTGTTCCTGTCTTTGCAAAACTCTCATTCGTGTTAAAGTAGCTTTGTGTCGAGATGCGATACGTCTCATAGCTGCACTGTGACGTCCAGAGTATAAATGCAGAGAATATTCTTTGAATGTAACACTACGGTGAGCACAGTGTGGACAATTCAATTTGATGAATTTCCTTCCATCACGTCTACTTGGTAATTCCTCCGAATCAGCGTTTCTACCATGTTCATTTTTATCATTTTCATCTCTTTCTTCATCATCGCCGTCATCTTCTTCGTCCTAAAGGATACGCATCAAAAAATACGTTGCTTTAAGTTTTTTTAGTTTAAGGTGTTTTTTTTTTTTTTTTTTTTTTTAAGATCAAAGAGAGCGAGAGTGAGAGAGCGTGAGTGTATGAGATCTAGAGATTTCTCGTAGAAAATGTGACAATTCTAGAGAATATTCCTCCTACCTCCTGTTTCGTATCTTCCTCGTCCTCCTTCACTTCTTCGTCATCTTTTTCTTCTTCATCTTCGGTGTTTTGTCTTTCTCTCTCTTGCTTTTCCTTTTTTCTCTTTTCATCTTTTTTCTTTTTCTCATCCTCTTCCTCATCTTCTTCTTCTTCGTCATCTCGTTCATGTGGCTGGATTTAACAACGTTAGGAAGAAATAGTAGTATAATTATACAACGGTGAATGTGAAGAGAAGCACAGTGTTTTCTATAGTTTTCTCTTGATTAATTGATAATTATATATTTTATGCCTGCGATAATATATATCAGGCAGGCATCACAGTGAAGAGATTTTTAATTAGAGAAATTACCTTCTCCTCGTCATCCCAGTTACTCTTGTTATCATCGTCTTCATCGTCGTCGTCGGAAAACTCAGCGTTAATAGCTTTGGCCATCTCTCTATCCTTGTCCTTCATGCTGCTTCCTGATCCTGACTCCTTTTTACTTCCGGATAGCCTAGTAGTACCGCTACTAATGACAGCAATTGGTTTTTGACTTACATTATTTCCCTTCATTTTGTTCTGGTTCCTTTGTCTTTCGTTTTTAATCACCAATCAAAATTTGTTTTATTTTTTATATTTATTATATCTATATATATATATTTTTTTTTCTTAGTTGATATACAGCAAATATCGCGATAGTATTCATTGCTCTTATCCCCCATAATATGAGAATGCACTTCGTTTAGCAATAAAGGTCCAACTATTTCAGCCTTTTTGCATTGTCATTGTGCTCTTGTGGTTTCGCATGTTCCGCGTGGTCTTAAAATACTTATATATGTATATATATATATTAGAAATAACGTTCTTTTACTGCATTTTTTTTATATATATATATATATTTATATTTTTTGTTTATATATATACTTTTATTTATTTATTTTACTTTTTTTATTTATTTATTTATTTATTTATTTAGTCACTGCTATGTGGAAGAACGATAAGTAATGACATCATAAAGTACAAGTATTTTTAGTTCTCGTATCAAAAGTAATTACATTGCATTTGAAGATAGTAGTACGCACAGACATCGTATTAATGCGCACCACATATTTATTTTTATGATCAATTCCCTCTGTACATACGACCCTGTCAAAAGTTTGCCTCTCAGCAATATATGTAAACATTTGTTTTCGTGCGATATCATTTGTGTCAGGTTTGTTTTCTTTTACCATTTTATTAATGTCTATATCGTCATCGTGACTCTCAGGTCATTGACATAGCCAGTTCGTGTACTGACGGGTAAGCAAGCAGGCTACTAGGACGGTATTGCGGTTGGTAAGTGACTTATTAATTAGTTACCTCCTGCGCAATTTGGTAGTTGGCACGCGCACACGCTGGATGTAGTCTCGCGAACGCGAACCTAGCAGCTTGCGTCGATAGTCGAGCGAGTGTAGGGTACGCTTGCGAGCCATGATGACGTCCGATCGAGAGCTCATCCGATGAAATCCACCCCCTCGACCGCTGCCGCGAGTGGAAATGCGACCTCTGTAGTTTGAACTCTGATGCGATATTCTTCCTCGACTAGAGGTATATCTTTGAGTCGGGGGCGCCATCTCGCTGATGCGAGGGGGTGGCGGAGGTGCATAGCTCCGTGAAGCAGAATGACGGTCCTCCGAACGGTGATATGAAGAGGCTCGTTCACTCTGTCTCTTGTCCTCATAAACCGCCGACGATGACGAGCCCTTATTGTCATCGTATGGTGTTGATGCTGATGAACCACCGTAAGACGAGGAGTACCTCTGCGAACCGCTACCGCTACCACCTCCACCCTGCCAAATCAAATTCAATTGTGCTCCTTCCTTTTCATTTCTTTCTTTCTCCATTCCTGTCATTCTCTCTTATCACATACATACTTATGCGTGTATTTATTTTATATTTTATTTATTTTTATATATATATTTTATATATATACATATATGTAATATATCTCTCCCCTCTTTCCCTCTCCTAGAAGTATGTTTAATGTCATTTCAATGATTTATTGATCTAGTTTCAGCAGGTTTTTTCGAACTTCCTCATATTACTTTTTTGTAATAGCAGGGCCAATCATTTACTTTAAAGTCGTCCAACCTCACTACACCCATTCTCGTTGGATCACCGATTTATTATACCTTATAGATTTACCTCCCTAAAGTAATTTCTAAATAATGTTGATGAACTTAATATTGCAACATTGCTCTTTTTTTTTTCATAATTTAAATTTTTATACTTTTCCGGAAGTTCAATATATATATATGTATATATGTATATATATTGTTTCTTGGTGATTTATACTCGTTCTTTTCTATTATATTTTTGAGAAATTTTAATTTATTATATTTGACCAGTATTTAGTAATTTTCTTTGAGATATCAAGTGAATTCTTTAAAATTGTGGATAGAAGTCTTTGAAATAGACCTTTCCAACTTCCTGAAGGAAAGAGCAGCACCGTTTAGAATAATATTAATTGTAAAAAATCCTTTTCTATATTTACTATATTTTCTATTGATTATTGTTTCTCATTTTCTGCCATTTGATTGATCATTATATTAACTTGGGAAAGAAATTAAGCTAATTAAGAGATTAATCTTTATATGATATATATATATACATACACACATATATATGTATGTATATATAATATATATATACGTACGTACGTATGTATGTATGTATATATATATATTTTTTTTTAAAACAATCTTCAGAAGAGTGAAATACTCAAGAAAAATATTTGATAGATATTTGATCATTGACTTTTATTTTCTAAACCTTTCTGGTATGCTTTAGTTGGGAAACTTATATATCTCAGATTATGCACAAGTGGATGTGCGTTGACTTATAAAAACTTGATACTTATTATAACCTTCTCAGTTTTTAGTTAAGTTTAGTATTCTTTTTTTTTTTTAAATCAGAATCAACATATAAGATGCATGTTCTCTGTATTGGAAAGGTCTATGCGTTGTTCAGAGTCAAGAAATTCGGACCTCCTTCAAAGTATATAATTTAGAAAATCTGTCATTTGTGTGTTTATATATATATATAAGGTTATTTATATTATAGTAGCTTTACTTTGTAGTATCAACTGTTGGAGCAATGTGGGGATGCTGTCAATATTTGATTCAATAATTTGATTTCTAACTGTGCACGAAATTGTTTTCATAGCACATATTGCTATTATACAGAGAACAATGCTGATGCAATATGAGCACAATAAAATCCGTATTTCTACATTAATATTCATCTGTTCGCTCAGTTATCTTTCATGACTGTGCGTGTTTAATAATTTAAGTACCATCTAGGTATATATTTCATCTTTTATTTGATGCATTCGTAGTGTTCCACCAGTAGTGTCCCAACGCAAAAAGAATGGGTGTTCAAGAAGCCGTTGGCTCGTCGCTTGAAAGGAAATTATGACATCTTATGAATACCTGTTCTCCTGCTTTTTTTCCTATAAAATTGTTTTCTTTCTTTCTTTTTTTTTTCTTTACAGACGAATGCCCCGAAAATGTTTTTGCAACTAAATAGAAGCTAATTGTCTAATTTTTTTCAATATTCAATAAACTTATATTTTAAATGAATAAACTTTTCAGGACAGTCGTTTCAAGTTATACTACGTTTTCTTTCTTTTTTTTTTTTTTTTGAAATTTAGAGGAACTATTTGAAGAGAAGACCTTTTTAATTAAGGCCTATAATTTCTTCTTGGCCTTTAGGAATGTAGAATCAGAATGGAGTAGCCTAAGACTTTTTCACAACTTTTACACATTATAGTTTGCTTAATTCTTTTCATAGTGTACATACCTGATAAGAATCGCTTCTAATCCTTTTACGAGTTGAATCTCCAGAAGAACGATGATCATCTCTACCGGAATAAGAATCCTAGCAAAGATGAACACACAAAAAAGTGATATTAACAATTTGATCTAAAATATCTACATTATATGTATTTATTCTTAACTACTTACACGTGGCCGTTTGTAACTATTTGAATGTTCACCCCTTCCACCTCTGCTTGAATACCTTTCAGATCCGCCTATAAGAAATACAAAAAAAAAAGTCAGTTAAATATTTATTTAAAACTAGATATACTAGACCAGTCATTTTGATTGGTCGGGCCATTTTAATTCAAAATTTCTACTTCATGTAACATTTGATTTCTATAAATAATTTCAAAATGTCTATAAACCCATTTATCTATTAAAATTATTATTGTTAAGCATTTTTTGTTATTATTTAGGAGTAAATAAAGATTAGAAGCCTCAAAAAGCATTTTTTTGTATACACCAGTCATTTTGAGTAGTGTGGTAGAAATAGGTATACTCAAAATGGTGGTATATCTAGTATTAAGAAATACAATTCAATATTCTTTGATATCAACTAACCTGAATTGTATTTAGAACGTGAATCATAACCAGTGGTAGAATATTTAAATCTACCTCCTCTCGAAGAAGAATAACTTCCTCTATTAGACATATTTCCTCCGGTAGATCCTCCTCCCCAATCGCTTCCTCCTCCACCTCCTCGACCTCTGTACGAACTACCTCCACGTGAACTAAATCCTCGGCCGCGAGAACTCATGGTTGAACTGTCAATAGTAAATATCAAATAAATATTATACGAATTACTATTTTCTTTTTCAAATCTTCACTTATAGCGATAATATTTATATATATATTGTAACGTATAACGATAATATTTATATATGTATTGTAACGCTTCTGAACGCTAACACTAACCTGTATTTGTTGTAGCCGTAACTCATTTTAGTATATCGATGAGTTACAAGCCTCAGATATGATGAGAATGGTCTACGAACAAAATGGGTACGTATTTATAGAAGAATGTCTTGACTTATGTAAAGTCAATCAAAATTCTAATGTATAAAAAACAATAAATATTCTTTAATAATATATCTCTAACATCTTCACTCTATTGATTATTAATCAAATTTTAAGTAAAAACTAAATAATATATTCCACAGAAAATAAACTAAAGAGTATAATTCACAAGCTATATATATTGAATCATTTATAAATAATATAGAAAATAATATTAAAGGTGAATTTTAGTATCACAATGCACAACTTGTGCTTTCTATGCACCTACCACACGCCATTCTAGGCAACGCACGCGCATTTTTACGTATATGGATGCCGATATATACGTACACGTATGTACACACGTATTACACACTATAAGCTACTTATAATAATTGAACAATCATATTTAACAAAATGATTATAATCATTTCAATAAATGTATCATCGTATTGATGATTACTCTTACAAGATGTACATCATAAAAGATCAGTACCCTCAATGCTTTATAAAGTACTGCTCGGAATCAAATATAGAATTGGAATAGTTTTTTTTTTATTCCTTTAAATATATCTATAAGTATATCAATATTTTCATTTACTTTTCAATAACTTTTTATCGCTGAAGATAAACGTGAATCGTATTGAAAAGTAGTAGAAATCTAATAACACGCAAATCGATAAGACCGTTTTCATTTGGCGCGACTAAATGGCTAAATTTAACAAATTCGATATGCGTTTACTAAAAACAATTCTATTCGTTAATATATAATAATATCGTTACCTTTTTTGAGATGTAGAACAATGTAGATGATTAATAAGTATTATTTGATGATATTTTTGATGAATTTCTAGAATAAGCTCTTCGGAACGTGCCAATGGATGTACTGGGATGTACGTTCGAAAATAAAATGTCTGCCTCTCCAAGTGTAGCGTCCCACCTCTACTCAGTTAACCGGGGCTAACATGAGGAATAAAAGAATTTAACCGGAAGTACCGAATTTACCGGAAATGATACAAATGAAGTATTAATTTTTTTTTTCTTTTAATAAATATCGTTTCATTATCGATATCGCAATTAGAAAGAAAATAAATAAAATTATTATACATTGAGATTAATTTTTATAAATATTTTTATTTATTTATATAACTATAGTTTCAATTTAACGTGTATTATCAAATTGATTTATTCGATAGGTCGGTTAAAAATTTCGATTGTTTAGGTTGCGATAAATGAATATATTTAAATTTATATATTTTTTTTTAAAGGAAATTATTATCAAATCAAAATAGTTTAGAAAATATATAACAAAAAATGCATTAGGATATTTTGTTTATTTATGTAAAAAAAAAAAAAAAAAAGAGAAAGAGGATAAAAGAAGATATAAGAATAAATAATAATACTCATAATATCAGTCTCATATGAACTTATATTATACACAGAATAGTTCAAAAATTATTCTCACATTCATTATACATTTATATCATCATTTTAATGCTTATTGTAGAAATAGGTTGTCTAATTATCATTTTAGCATGGAAAATATGCATGTATACATATGTACTTAGAATTACGTGTATTTCTATATTGATAATAAACAATTTAAATTAAGCAATTGATCTCAGCAGTATGAGAACATTTTCTTTTTTCTATTTTTGTTATTGTAAGTTTCATAACGATAATTTACAAAAACATATAAATCTATTTCACTCAAACTCTCTGTGCACATCAACTCTATTTACAGTGTGATATATATTGACACGCTGTATCATTATTAAGTTTTTTTTATTTATCCAAATTATTTGTAATAAATAATATCTAGACAGTAGTACTTGTAGACAATATTTCAGTAGCTAAATAATCAAAGCTAAAGTATTGAATGACATAAAACAATGCCAACTGTTAAACACAGTTTATACGAGATCTAATATTTATTAAACAAAAAAAATAGAAATGTTATATGATCATGTCACAATCATTTTTATCTCGGAGATTCAATTTATGATACAGGATATAGCTATTTACATTGATAAAAATAATTTCTGATTTTAATGGTTGATTATTAATATAGTAAATATTAATAATAAAGACTATAAATATTTGGATTACCACTAACGAATCAACAACGCGCTGTATAATATAATATCATCACAGCGTACCTTTAAAACATGTTTTGCTATATTTAAGCAATTATTTGTTGTTTGTTTCGAGGGGGAATGGAGGCGGAAATTTTGTTCTTTTTCTTTTTACATATTACCTTTCAGAAAATCTCAGGGATAAAGCTAACGTCTCATATTTTTTTCTTTCTTTCTTTCTTTTATGATAGTTACTATAGATATAAAATCACCACACACTTTCATCAATATTTTGTTAGTTTTAAATCTTTATATACTACGGATGTGAACATTCTGTATTCAATAATGAGTTGCACATGAATCAAATATTAATGACAATTTTCTGCTTTCTTTCTTCTTTTTTAACCATCAAGACTATATTCAGCATCTGAATGTGCTTGAAGATAATTCCCATCATTGGAATGACTGCTATCTTGACAGCAATTTTCTATTACAATTGTTGCAAGTTCTTTGATACGTTCGTATGGCCTTTGATGAGCTTTAAGAGCATTCAATTTTTCTATTCCTCCTTCTTTTATAACTAACGAACAATATTTGTGTGCTGTTTCAACATAGATTAAAATATTAATAAGAAGTTTTTATGTAGCAGAAGAAGAGAGAAAAGAAAATGATTTAAAATGAAGAAACATATTTTTAGATATACGTACGATAAACATTAGTTAAATTTGCGAGTGCCCACACAGCCCAGTGCTGACATTCCGGAGTGTGGTATACATCCAGTAAACGTAAGAGGGGTAAAAATGAACGATAATTGATATTACGTTCTGCTGATAAATCCCATCTTTCAATAGCTTGGACCATAAAATCTAAAACTTCATCTCGACTTGGTTTATCAAGTGTCCAAGCTTCAACACCATCGGATGCCATATGTGCAAGTATACCAGTTGCATTATAAGATACCTATTATTTTATAGAATAATAATAATATATATACATTATCTTATTAATTTATATAGATTAATGATAGTAAATTACTGGTCGGTATACCAAGACATAGATGGGAGGACAATATTAGAAGGGATCTTAAAGAAATAGGCTACGAAGACCGCGAATGGAAGGGTCGCGCTCAGAGACGAGAACACTGGCGGGATTTAGTATTTGCAGCAATGAACTTTCGAGTTTTTTATGTCAATTAATAATAATAATGATAGTAAATAATTAAAGAACAATAAAAGATTTATAAAATTCAGTAAAATGTGATACCTCAATGCCATCACTATTGGAGCATAATAAGTTGGCAAAAACACATACATATTGATGTTGCATAAGATGCACTCTCAAATAGCTTACTTCAGCAACATTACCAAGCAAACCCATCATGTTTCTTAGTAATTCTTCTTTACCTGGATATTGCTATATAAAAAAAAAAAAATAATAACAATAATTATGCATCAAATGTTTATACTTGTATAGGTTTTTAAAAAATATAAAAATACATACTTCTACGCATTTCAGAAATAGTACCATTCCTTTTTCATCTAAAAATCGTTGGCAATTTATAGCCGTTTCATCAGTCATATTCCACATTGTTGACCATGCAACTTCTAAGACATCATCAAATATTCCAGATACAACTCTATATTCGACTAATTCAAGCATCGTTTTAACACAACCTAATTTGCCTAAAAGACACTTCTCTTTTCCCTCAACTTGACAAGCTAGAGAGTTTAATAAATATATTCCGATACGTTGTACGAATCCTTCTGGCTCTGCATGTTTAGCAGAATGTAAGAGCACTTTTACTAATGCTTCATAGTTAAACATCTGTAAATAGAAATATTGTTATGTTATTCTTTTCTTTTTTATAGATATTTATAGATAGTTTTGTTTATAGAGATACAATAAATATAAAATCAAATAAACATTATAGACGTATGATAAAGATAAAAAGTAAATACTAACTACATCTTGCGGTATGCGAAATTGACATAGTGCCAAACAACCATTGCGCATCATAATTTCTTCGTCTCTATGAAGACTCATTCCTGTTAATAAAGTGTTAATAATTCTTTTCCTAACACCTACAACTAGATCTCCTTTCTCTTTCATCTTTACTATGTAAAATAAAGTAGCACTGTAACAAATATTTTTTTAAGTATCAAATGTTATAATATATGATATTTGCATTCATTAAAATGTATTACCTTCCAGATATCTGTATGTGTTTATGATATGAATGCTTTTCCATCGCTTCTAATACAGTATGAAGTGCTTGATCCATTCTTTGACAATTTTCATATCTGAATACATGATAGAGATCACTCAATACTTTTTGTAATAATTCTGGTTTGTTGTTCATGCAAACATGAGCCGCTATTAATATTTGATCTTCATTTGCATCTCCTGCTATCTGCATTCATCCCATAAAATTAATGTAATACAATAATAAAATAAAAATTACATTACAATTGTTCAATACGTACCACTTTTGCTGGTATATCATGTCTTTTACAAGCTGCATGAGCAGTTCCATAAAGACCTAAAAATTGTAATGGGTTATTGATTCTAGATGCAAGACCAGGTATGTCACAAAGAGCATTATTTGCCAAATCTTCTAAAACTGTTTCAAGGGGTCTTTCGGCAACTCCTCTTCCAGCAAGATTAGTGCCTCCAATATCTAGAGAAACTAATTCAGGCAATCCAGTTACTATACGTCTTAAAATTCTGTTAGGATGCTCAAATTGTCCATGTTTGAAATTGGATTGTGAAATGTCCAAGTGCCTAATATATAAGTTTTCATAATTAGAACAATAAAATTATTTCTTTTAATTAGTATAAAACACTTCTGCATACCTAAGTTTTTTCAAATGGCATATGTTATTAACAAATGCTATCGGATCACCATTAACCTTTACATTGTACAATGTTAACGATAACAAATTTGGAACTTGATCATAAAAATCAAAGTTCAATCCTTGAAAATAATTAGATAAATCTAAATGAGTTAAATTAGTTAATCCTGCCAAAAGTAAATTATATTCCTTTTCAGGAATACCAACATATCCTAATGCTAAACGTCTTAAATTTGGTGTTTTAAATACATAGCCACGTTTGTAGTAAATAGAAGAGTTCTCATCTGCAGCTAAAAATAATATATAAGTATATATTTGATAGGATTATTATGATATTATTGTCATACTATTTAATAATCATTATTCTAAATGTTCTATTACCAAGTCTTATTGGTAGGGCTATTGAAACTCCATGAAATACCAGACTACGTAAGTTTTCAGAATTGGCGTTCACGTGTTCAATAGAAAGTTCTGTTAAGTCACAGCAATTGGTGAGTTCTAGGTCAGTAAGTTTGTGCTTCATTAATATTTGAACAGAAGCATCCGTCAAATTACAATTTATTATTTTAACACGTTTTAGTCTGGTTGCTGTTGTATCTTTGAACATAGAGATGAACCAATCATCGCTCCCTCCTTTTTTACTTCGTTGCATATGTTCTATAAATTTGTGACATATTTCTGCAGGAAAAGCAAGTCCTTTGCGTAGAATACGATGACCATGTTTATCTTTGATTGAAATGATATCAAGTTTGTCACAAATTAGTTTGAAGCAGAGATCAATAAGTTTCTCTGGACCAAGGTTTTGATCTGAATGATATATATCATTCAGTTCTGCCATCCTGTATGGCCTTTTTTTATTAAATCACATACAATTGTTCATTAGAGCACACTATACACAATTATGCAATTATACACTGCTGTCAAATACATCAAAACCTATCAGCTGGTAATGCACAAACATCTCACAATTTATTATAAGTGCTCTAATATTCTTCTTACTATAAATTATTTCTTCGATTCTATTATTATATACAGTGCTAATAAAATTCACTGTAATGCGTTGGTTAAAATTACTTGATATGATGTCGTTACGTCGAAAACTTTCTAGAATTTTAGATAGATCGAGCATTAATCGAATGTGTATATACTCACGTTCCGCAATTTTGACATTTCACTTGACTACCGTAGTAACGCCATACTCGACTTTGATCCAAGTTACATTTTGCGTTAGTTTGTACTTTGATGATAATCAAAACTATTACACTTTTTATAGATATTCATTAAAAATTTGATAAGGAATTTTATTGTTTATTTTTCTTTTTACGATTTATTACAAATTTTTCTTTCCAATAATTTCTAGTATTTTATTAAATAAGGAAAAGAACATGCTGTTTACTAGAAATTTAAAATTTTGTTATTAGAGTAATGTTCCGATATTTTTGATATCTGTAATATTTTTGTAACATAATGTAAAATAATAAGTAATAATATATCAAATGGCACTGTCGATATCATTTCTTATCTATTTTGATACGTTAAAATTTATTGTAAATCTATATTTACTTGCTACAGTTTATCTGCAATTTAGATCTGTAAACGTAATTTTATTTGTTAATACAAATAACGATGTAAATTTAGCTTAATATTAGATTATCTGAATATTGATGTAAAGATAATCTAAGATAGAAATCTTCGAATGCCAAATAAATATGATAAGTAATAATGATTTATTTTCATTTAGATTAATATAAAAAAACATAAGATGTATAAAAGTTAATTAAATATCATGTTACATCAACACACCTTTACATTTACAAATTAGTTAGCCTAAAGGGTCTCGAAATATAGTAATTGATTTTTAAAATGACATAGGAACTTTTGGACCATCTAGAAATTTTTAACTCACTTTGTATACCGACAGATAATGAAGCTGTTTTGATACTACACTACTAGATGGCAGCAGATGTAACTGTATTGCATTTAACATTCAACATATTTAATACAATTATTATTGTTTTTAAATAATTTGTCAATTTTATAAATAGAATAATTTTAATATATATTATTATTTTAATATTACATATTATACTAATTATAAATAGTTTAGAGAACAATTAAATACTTATAACATCTTTATTGTTCTATCCTGTAGCGAGAATTTGAATTGATAGTAATTTAAATTTCTCGCTAACTTTTCACTTGTCAATATTAGTTTTGAAATTGTTTAAAAATAATTTCTTTTTAAAGAGCAATTATACCAATATATATATGTATATTTTTAAATAAAATACGTAAAAGTATATAAATTATAAAGAACTGACGTGATATTGATAAGAAATTTTACAAAATATACTAATTAATTATTATATTTTTAAAATTCTTTTTTTAAGAGTAGAAAGAAAAGAAAACTATAGGTCTGATCATTGTTATCTTAAACAAATAGCTAATATCTTCGTTGAAAAAAATGAATGAAATTTACAAAGATCTATATGATAAATCAGAGTTTTTACCATATACATATTATATTTATATGTATGTGTGTATGATAACGTATACATAGTAGAGCCTAAATATAGATTGACACTGTGGCACTAATTTGTTGAATGAATCGATAAGTGTGTTGGTGCTTGGGGGACTGAACGCTATTGTGGGGGAGATTTGCAGGGTACACCAGAAATCTCTGCGCTCTTCATACGTGAACTTATCCTGTGCGAAATTCAAGTAACGCGAGCTACGTGTACGTACTACGTTAAACTGTCATTTTTTTTTTTTTGCTTTTAGTTCTTTATATTTTTTTTTATCTTTTTTATTTTTTGTCTATTTTTATTTTTTGTCTATTTTTATTTTTCTTCTTCACGCATTTAATTGAAAAGTTACACACTTCCGTTATTTCAAGTTTGACTTCACGTAATTATATAGTACGTATTGTTTTATCTATATGACAGCATGACAAAGTCAAATTATAATGTATTTAGAACAAGAATAAGTTTTTTTTTTATTATTTGGGCATAGTGGTCAAAGTATTTTGGTAAGACGAGTAGCTTGGACGAGTTATAGTAATATTACAATAACGAAATAAAGATAATTATTCGTAATTGCAATCACTTGTTAATAAAAGTTCATCCAATGTATGTATCAATAATTTAAATATAACACTAGATAAAATTATTATTATTATTAATTACAATCATTTGTCCACTAATATAAATATGGAATAATAAAAAGAAAATATTAATAGTTTAGTCAACTCGTAATTTCGATACCGTAGAAAAGAATTTAAACATGATCGACTATCGCGAGTAGAAATATTCAAAGTTACTATATTTTGTTAGGATAATATATCTTTCGCCAATCGTTCGCCTAAAATAGGACAAGGTTGGTCGATGGGAACAACATTGATGAAACGTTGTGATTCCCGGAAGTTGCTCGTTGTCTGTCATCCATCATCATCAAGACCCTTGTACAGATGCGTCTCACGTGATGACGATGACCGCTGAATATTTAAGACCTCGAAACGCGAGACCAAATTGTCTTTCACCCGACAACCGTTTACTGTATAATAATCCCTTCAATTTTTCACTCGAGCAACAATGGGCAAAATATGACGCCAAAGGGCGACGGTGGTCCTGAATATTGGTCGTGAAATGCGCATATTCAATCGTTACAACTATTTAAGAGTCCCTTTGTTTCTAACTCAATCCTTTATTTCTTCTTCTTTTCCAGTCTCTCTCATCCGTTTTTGTTTTTTAAGAATTAAATTAAATTCGCAGATTCGTACGTACGTGTAAATATGATGAGGTGAATAGCGTTGAGTTTGTACGTGTTTTGCTGGATATATAATAATGCCTTCGACCGGAACGGCTGGCCGATCTAAGGTAGATAGGTCCACCAGTCCTCTTTCGAGGAAGTTGGTAAATTCAGTGAATCAGATTAATCCAGCAAATCCAGTTCAGGAATTGAAGGCCCTTTTTTCTGAACCACCTTTAAGAGTACCAAATGGTGGTAAGGAACAAGATTTCCGATTTGAAGCTATTCAATGTCTGCAGTCAACTGTTGTAAAGGAAACCCAAGATTTACCGGATCGAGGATCATGGAGCAGCAAGGTGATTTATTATAGTGTCCACAATATGAAATTAATTAATACGTCATTCTTAAATTTTTATTTTCTTGTTCTCCAAGGTGGAATTTATTTTATCGGTAGTGGGTCTCGCGATCGGTTTGGGAAATTTATGGCGATTTCCTTACCTTTGTTACAAGAATGGAGGTGGTGCCTTCATGGTTCCTTATTTCATAGCTTTGGCACTTGCCGGTGTACCCATGTTCCTAATGGAACTATCCTTGGGTCAAATGATGACCATAGGTGGCCTTGGAGTCTTTCAAATTGCTCCGATTTTTAAAGGTTCGAAGAAGTCATTTCTGATTGATTAATTTTGTTCTTGCGCGGTAAGTAGAAAGTACAAATGACGAAACGAGGAAACACATTTTTAATATTTGACAATGTATTTGTATAATGTTATTCTATTTGCATAGATCTTATTATAATAAAGTATAAAATATAGGTATTGGATATGCAACCTGCGTGCTCTCCTGCTGGACAAATATTTATTACATTATTATACTAGCGTGGGCACTATTCTATTTCTTAGTTTCTCTACAGTCAGGTAAATAGGTATATGATTATAAGATTGCTATCTTTCGGATGTAGTGTCTTATATTTGTCTTATATGTTAATAAATTTCTTGAAAGATGTGCCATGGAGAACTTGTGGTAATTCATGGAACACAAACTTCTGTATCACCCCCACAGAACGTCTCGAAGCTATTTGCTGGCCAGACGAAGAGGACACTGTATGCGCTACTTCGATCGGTAACTTCAGTCATACGTTACTCAAGGATCCAGTCCAAGAGTTTTGGGAGTAAGTTTTAACTTATTGTGTGTTAGATCTTTTTAATTAATTAATTATATTGTTTTTTTAATATTACATTATAATGTTTAATATATCTTTTTCATATTAAAGGAGGCGCACACTTCAAATTTCTTCAGGGGTTGATGCCGTGGGTGGAATAAGATGGGAATTAGCAGGTACTTTGGCTGTCGTATGGATCATGTGTTATTTTTGTATTTGGAAAGGAGTTAAATGGACAGGAAAGGTAAGATGATGTACAATAAAGAGCAAATTTGATTCAATAGCGAATAACTTAAAGAAAAATATTTTTTTCGATATATTTTGACAATATATTATCTATTCTTATTACGTATAGGTTGTTTATTTCACTTCGTTGTTTCCATACGCATTGCTAGCAGTTTTATTAGTAAGAGGTTTAACTCTACCAGGTGCGATTGAAGGTCTGAAATATTACGCTACACCAAATCTTACGAAACTTGGTGAACCAGAGGTAGAAACAAATTTGTTCAAATTTAATAATTTTATTATAGAATCACGATTAAAAATATGTTTTAATTTTATTTAAAAAAAAAATCTAGGTATGGATAGACGCAGTGACGCAAATATTCTTTTCTTATGCACTGGGACTAGGTGCTCTCGTTGCGCTCGGAAGTTACAACAAATTTAATAATAATGTTTATAAGTGTGTATATATAAATAAAGAATATACAATTTTTTATTTAAATTACAATTAACTATATTATTTAAGTTAGATTATTTGATAATTAACGTGTTCCTTTATTTCAGAGATGCTCTTATAGTTTGCACAGTTAATTCATGTACAAGTATGCTCAGTGGTGTTGTCATATTTTCTGTGGTGGGTTTTATGGCACAAGAACAAAATAAACCAGTTGCCGATGTTGCTGCTTCCGGTAATTTTTTTTTTTTGGTATATTTTACTCAAATAATTTCTATCACGTTTTTAATCTTATTTTAAAATCCTTTATACTAGGTCCAGGTTTAGCTTTCTTAGTTTATCCTTCGGCGGTACTTCAATTGCCCGGTGCATCGATTTGGTCGTGTTTATTTTTCATAATGCTTTTATTGATCGGTTTGGATAGTCAGGTAAACAAAAATTTGATGTTTTAAAAATATATTACAAATAAGATATTATAAAAAATGTATTATTTAACAGTTTTGTACCGTGGAAGGCTTTATAACTGCAGCTGTTGATGAATGGCCGAGACTTTTAAGAAAACGCAAAGAAATATTCATAGCTTTTGTTTGTTTTATCTCGTATCTAATTGGTCTTTTGTGTATAACCGAGGTAAGCGTTATATGTATTAAAAAAATTACAACGTAACGTCTAGTTCTATTTTGAGAACATACATTTTATTAAACTATGTTAATATTAGGGAGGAATGTATGTTTTTCAACTTTTGGATTCCTACGCCGTCAGTGGATTTTGTCTTTTATTTTTGATGTTTTTTGAGTGTATCGCAGTATCATGGGCATTCGGAGTTAATCGTTTTTATGATGGTATACGAGATATGATCGGTTATTATCCCTGTTGTTGGTGGAAAATATGTTGGCTATTCACTACACCAGCGATTTGTGTGGTGAGATTAAATAAATTTTTGTATATAGCTTTGGTTTAAGATTTAATGAGATAATAATTGTTTTCTTTTTTTTATATAGGGTGTATTTATATTTAATATAATTAAATTTAGCCCTGTTAAATATCTTTCATACGAATACCCATGGTGGAGTCATCTGTTGGGGTGGTTATGTGGTTTATCATCTATGATGTGTATTCCGGTTTATATGGTTTATATTTGGTGTGTTACACCTGGAACTACCTCAGAGGTATATTATTGACATCTAAACAATACTTTATTAATATGTATGTGATAAGATAATTTTTATTTGTTTTTTATAGAAATTTCGAAAGCTTGTAAGAATAGAGGAAGATGTTGCAACATTACGTATGAAATTAAGTACTACAAAACCTGCTGCCATTAATTCAGGACTTGAATTATAAGTTTTTAATATTATTATTATTATTATTTTTTTATATATTGTAAATATTTGGTTGACAGTGAACTCGTTTATATTAAACATGAGCAATAATGTTAAATGAAATATTAATAAGAAATGAAAGAGAGAAAGAGAGAGAGTGTTGAACAATATATAAAATAATGTAATTATTATAATGATAATAATATTTTTCAGATTAAGATTAAATATAGTTTAATACATCGCTAATTACGGACATATTCACGTAACATACATTATTTATAATAGCACATATTTAAAATATGATATTTTCTTATATTTGACACAAGAAATATTGTATCTTAAAAAATAAATTTCGTAAACTATACGATAATACGAATGTTTGATAGTGTTTTAATCTTTTGAATATAATTTTATGCACAATATGTAAAAGATATTATTAAACTATCTAGTCTGACTTTTCTTTATTTTGCATCTCTTTTATACGATCAATTAATTGTTCTTTCCATTCTTCCTCAGAAATAGTATTTGCCCATTCGGGAATTGCAGTGGACGGTAATGTAAAACTAGCCATCATTGATTTAACTTGATTAATTTTATCTGCATCCATGTCTATATTAGATCTATTAGATGGAGATGACCATACTTCTATTGTTTCGCTAAAACAAAGCTGAAATGTTTATAAATAAATTGATTAGATAATTCATGAAATATAATCATTTCTAATATTTTTACCTGTTGTGAATCATTTAATGATACAGGTATCACATGATTCATTTCTCCAGTTTCAGATATCCACTCATCGTCCTGAAAATATTCATTGCGAATATGAAAATGATAATGAAATAATTATTTATATATTCATGTATAAATAATATTTGAAAATATATTATTACAAACTTCATCGTCTTGTAATATAAGATCGCTATCAGTAGGTAATTGAGATAATGGCATATATCCAGTCATTCCAACATCTTCATCTTCACTTTCAGAATCTGTTGTCATCCTTGTATCAACGGTTAAATTTGGTACATTTAAACTTTCTTCTATAGGTTCTTCAGTAGGTTCAGGAGACATTGTGCGTTAGGATATATTACATTAAACATATTTTGTATAAATATATATTTTTTAATCTTTTCTTTTGTATCCTATTCAAAGTTGACAGTTGATAAATATTTACTATTATTTTTGATTATATTTGTAACCTCTCTTTTTTTCCTAAAAATAAATATTATTTCTTTTAATATCATTTACACGACAAAGCAATAAAGATTTATTAAATTTTATTAATTTATAAAAATTATATATAAATATATGTCGAATTAAATATATCAGAAATTAAAACATTATAAATACCCATAATGTTTGACACATCACAGCTGATTCCAGAATTTTGACGTCATAATATTGAATATGGTGAAAGGGCGCCATCTTCTAATAAACGCGCGAAAATTTAAATTCGTAAAAACATGACGCAACTAATGTAACTAATGACTAAGATAAATTATTCAAGGAATAAAATAAAAAACATTTAATTATTGGAATATTAACACAAAACAACTATAATAAATATCTAATGTAATAAGTGCATAAAATATAATTAAAAAAATTAAACTTTAGAACAATATTATAAACAATTTGAAATTAAAATAACTTTAACGTTAGTATTATTACTATTATTATTCTTCTTTTTCTTCTTATTATTATTATTAAATAAAAATAATAAAATAATAATTAACAAATATTTATTAGAATTACAAAGAATAAATTGAAAATCGTAGAAAATTGTAGGAGGAAAGAACAGCAGAATTTATTGCGCTATATCTAACTTGGATTACATTATCAGAACGTTGATTAAACCATCTAAAATTGTGACTACTAATCACGAATGTCATTTCGTCCTCTAACTTTATTTCGTCATTAAACTGTTCGTTATTTCTCTCTCACGATAAAAAAAAAAAARAAATAAATAAGAATAAAAATATTCATAGAAGAAACATAAATTTGAGGAAGACGCGTGTAAAGTGGGGGTAATTAATCACTGAACTTGCGTTTATTTGAAAGACTTCGAATGTCTGTCGTAATTAATTAAGCTAATGACTAGGGCTCCAAGTTTTATCATACATCACAGAGAAGAAGAAATCACATAGGATGAATGGCGCCCCGCTACTAAACCGAGTGCAGTAGTAATCCAGTGCAACGTCGAGTGGTATCACACAAGAAGACATGTCACTTATTGAATCCTACATTCTTTTAGCAACTGCCTTCATATCAGGTAAAAAAACAAGAGTATAACATTCGACATAATTAAAATTAACATAAACACTGACACGTATCTGTATGCATAATATCAGGAATAAATATATATTTATTATAATTCGTAAAAAATTGATGATAATTAACATTTGATCATGATTTTTCAGTTTATGCTCATCCACAAAACACGTTGTTAAACGACGTGGAAACGGTCATCAAATCAGTTTTTAATGTACCAAGAGAACCAGCTACTTTTAATTTATATACCAGGTATGATAATATCAAATATTATTTCTCTTATTTTCTTATAATTAATTGTAACAAAAGTATAAAATTAACATCATCATTAATTTGTACATAAATCAATAGATACACGTATGAAATTTAATAATATAATTAATAAAAAAAATAATGTTCGCGTTATACCTTGTATATTACTCACAATTAGATTATGATCAATATGCAAAGTCGCGAGGTCGAAGATTCATTCGCACGTTTGCCCTTTCTTGTCGTGGATCGATCGATATGAGAAATTTTTTGCTGATTCCGGAGCTAATGTTATGCGCTGTTATAAACGAACCATTAATTTTTTAAATGATACGTGCAATCAAAGAGCGTCCGCATTCTATTCTCAGCGCTGATGCTCGACTTACTATCATTCATGCGTAAATATCGCAGACAAGCCTCCACTTCTTTTTATTCTGCTTTTTCATCTTCATTTTCTTCTTCTTCTTCTTCTTCTTTCATTACGTCTTATGCCGATAGTCCCGATTAAAAAAGGAGGATAAAATGAGGCGCCACTACTAAAGATGGATGTTAAACTGATGTCTCGATATTTTCTTGCTTAAAGAAAATAATTTAAGGGAGAACTCTGTGCCTTTTCATTTTTTTTATTAATTCCTTTTGATATTGATTATCTTTTACATTGGATAAAATGCAATAACGAACGATGAAATTATTAAATTCTTTTTTAATTAACGTTACAATCTATAAATACAGATGAATTAAATATAATTATATAATTAAACAGGGAAAATCCTTTCGGGGAGGAACAATTATTCTTGAATAATACAGAAGTCCTTTATGCATCTCATTTTAACGAAAGTCGTCCAACCAAATTCATCGTTCATGGATTTAGCGATACTCGTAATGAAGCATGGATACGAGGACTCGTAGACGGTGAGTTTTATTAATAAAATAAAATAAAAAATAATAAGAAATAAAACGAAAAGAAGAATTTTCTAGAATATTGAAATGTCGAAGAGAAGTTAGAGAAATTTCATGACAATCATGGTCAAATCGTTTCGGTAAACACGGAATCGACGCTGTCAGGTTCAAGGGTCAACACGATAACACATTTAATTGATCGTTTTAAGAAACTAATGTTCTTTATGATGAAGTCATTCTTAAGATTTTGACGTAATTTCGAGAAGAAGAAAAAAAAACAATCTGATTTCTCATCGACCTTTTTTTTTAAGAGAATCATTGAAATGAAAGTTACAATATATATAATGCATACAAATTTAAATAATAATAATTGAAAGGACAATATTATTTTCAGCATATTTGTTACACGAAGATGTAAATGTAATAGTTGTTGGTTGGGGTGTATTAGCAACAGAAGTTTATCCAATAGCTGCAAATAACACACGTAAAGTTGGAGAATTCCTTGGTGATTTTCTCGAATTTCTTAATAGAGAATCGAATCTTGAGTACAAGGACGTTCATATCACCGGTCATAGTTTGGGTTCCCACGTGGCAGGTTTTGCTGGTGCTTATCTCGATGGTCGTATCGGTAGAATAACTGGTAAGAATAATTTCCAAATTATTCATCATGATTTTCATAAAATATTGAATAAGAAATAATCGTTCAAAGGTCTGGATCCTGCGAGTCCTTTGTTTGAAACGATTTCTGGAATCGTTGACCCAGAATTTCGATTGGATCCTACGGATGCACAATTTGTTGACGTTATTCACACAAGTGGACCAGCTTTTGGATTTTTAGCACCTTTAGGTCATGCTGATTTTTATCCCAATAATGGGGAATTTCCTCAACCTGGGTGTTCTTTCTTACCAACGACCAGTTAGTAGATTTTGAATAATACAAAAATGTGTATAATTTATATTATACACATATTATATTATAAATTATTCATACAAGTTGATATTGTATTTGCAGCCTATTGCAGTCATTCTCGTGCACATCAGTTTATGACAGAGAGCATTGGCAGTACTTCAGGATTTAAAGCAAGAACTTGTGAAAATTGGGAAAAATATAAGGAAGGTCGTTGCGATTATAATCCAATCGTCTTAATGGGAGAATACGCATCCACATCGTAAGATTCTTTTTAATCTTAAAAATTAATCAGATTTTATTAATCTTAAAAATTGTCTCAAAAACTATAAATATTAACAATTCCCTTCAACAACAGATTACGAGGAAAATTCTACTTGTCCACTAACAATGAACCACCGTTCGCAATAGAATGAGAAATTATTAATCGTTGATCGAACTTGAAATGGAAGACAATAATAATCGTGTATATATATGCGATTAAATAATCAGTACTAGTCATTTGTAAGTTACTTTATTTATGTAGAATTACGTGTTTGCTTATGCATTATGCACACATGCACGTGTCCCTCAATTTTCATTCGGATCTCCGTAAAGTTTCATTTATGATTGAATACCAAAACAAATAAATTAATTAAAAAATCTCTACGTACATATGTAAGTACAAATTACGATGTTAATTAAGTTCAATAGATTCAATGTGAAAATCTTTTATTTTCTCTCAATGTACTTTTTACGATAAATAAATAATCGTATGGTTGGGTGTATAGTATGTAATATTTCATGTTCCTGTCACTTTTCGTTACGTTGCGCGGTTATAATCGATGTTCATTAATAAATGAAGAAACAAAAGTATTGAACTCATCAATATCTTGCAAACAAGTGCAAGAAGTTGTTTCTTATCATGTATCGCTTCTATTTTCAATGTTTCATAGTGTTCAATATATTTATTTACATATCCTGTATAAACGAAAATGATTTCATTCGAGATTACTTTGAACATAGAAAAATCCCTAATGTCGTGGGATTTTCTTGTTACAATTCGACGAGTAAGTGTATTAATTATTGTGTGTTAAATTGTTCGTCATTTTTTTATGGTCATTTTATCTTTTATTTCTCTTCGAAACAGATAACTTTAAATTAGTGAGATCGTTCAACGATATACATACTTACGTTGCAATCTTAAAAAATGAATATTTGACTAAATCTGATGAGATTTTACAGAAATTTTTGAATCCCAATAATCATTATTTAGGCATATTTTTAGATTTGAGATGTGAAAATCAAAATATTAACAGACTTATTTCGAAAGTAAGATGAAGATTATTACATCGTTTATGGGATTAAGTTATCTTTGTTTTTGATTTATTTATTTAATTGTTAACATTCATTTAGGCATCGAAATATCATATGTATGACGAATCACACAAGTGGCTGATCATTGGTCATAATTTAAAAGAAAGTTTGAAAATCATTGACGATAGTACTTTTAATATCGCAACTGATGTAATTATTGCTGAACCATCAACTCGTGGTTACGTTTTATACGATGTTTATAATTTATGCAAGGATCATAATGGATCCTTACAAACTGTATTATTTGGTACTTGGCATAAAGAAACTGGTTTGTATGTTACATTGGTCAAACATAAATTTAGCAGAAGGGCAAATCTTCAAGGAATGACACTGAATGTTGGTGTACTCGTAAGTACTCAACTTTCAAATATTTTTATTACACATATAAGTCATAATTAACAACAAAATATTTATTTCTACAGTTAGATCACAAATTACCTAATATTCCAATCGAAAAATATTTATTGGATTATAATAAAAAATCGAAAGATAGTCATTCGAAATTTATGTATGCAATTTTGATTCATATTGCTGAACTCTACAATTTTACGTAAATAAATATTCAAACTCTCGTTAATTTTGTGTAGAACAATTTTTTTCTAAATTTGACTTGGTTTGATATTTATTTCATCTTTATTAGAATGAATATTACGGAAATAGATCCATGGCAAAAACGTGGTGGTAATCGTGGACCAGTATTTGCTGCATTTGAAGAAGGTTTAATAGATATTTGTGTAAATCCAACAATGATTATTACTGAAAGATTAAATTATGGTGACATTATCGCTCCTGTCTGGCCTGTACGGTACATAATTCATACACATACTCTTTAATATTTAAATATAATTATAATTATATTTTGTATTTTTCTTGAAAATAATTTTTAATTAAACAGGACATGTTTTTTATTTCGTATGATATCATCTACTCAATTACGAGCAACACAATTCATACGACCATTAGCTATTCGTGTATGGTACGCCATGTTAATTATAGTAGCTCTTACAGCAGTTATTTTACTCATTGTTTTAAGAAAAGAAGGTTTTCATGATTTTATCGAACTCTGTGGGATTTCGATACTTTCTTCCATGGGAGCTTTATCGCAACAAGGTTCGATTATTTCAATGACATAATTATTAATAAAAATATGTATATTATAATTAACATTAATAGTAATAAATCATTTTTTTCTTACACTAGCGTCAGCTGTAATTCCTTATGGTGTAGCGGGTCGTATTGCATTTTTACATATCATGTTCTTCAGTTTGTTAATCTTCAATTATTATTCAGCTAGTATGGTATCAAATCGTTTAAAAAATATTGGAGATAAAATGAATGATTCATTAATTAGTTTAGCCAATAGTAATTTTAAAATTGCTATGGAACCTACTCAGTATATTAAGTCGTTATTACAGGTAAACTATAAAAATACGTGTAAGTATAGAGTTAACCCAAAGATTTCTAGTTTAACAATTTAATTGTGTGAAAAAAGAATTAATTTTACTCAACAAAATATAATTAATTTAGAAACTTTTAGTTCACTCTGCTAATGTATTAAATATTTAATGTACTGTATACTATACTGTATATATATTACAGGAACCAAATTTGGAAGTAAGATATTTTTATCAAAATCGTTGGTTAAAGCTTTCTGAATCAACAAGACACTTGTCAATAGAGGAAGGATTAAATCGTGTAGCTCAAGGTGGTTTTGCTTATCATACTTTAACAGAATCAGCTTATCCATATATTGAAAAAACTTTTGAAACTCGTATGATCTGCGAATTGATGGAAGTTCATCTTCTTCGAACGACTTTAGGATTATGGAGCAGACAAAACAGTCCTTTCACTGAAATCTTAAGAACTGGGTATAAAAATGATTAGCATTTTTTTAAACAAATTCACGAGACAAACATTTCTTTTTTTTAGATTTACGAAAATGAACAATGCGGGTTTACGAGATCGTGAATTGAAACGTTGGTCTGCTAGAAAACCTCGTTGTCCATCAAACATACTTATAGCTGAAGCTATATCGATTCAAGAAGCTGCCCCTGTTTTGTTATTCTTAATCGTTGGCATGGTTTTATCATTGTGTGTATGTGCCATCGAAAATATCATTTTTTGGTTTTGGTCTAAAAGGTAGTAATTAAATTATTTTTGATAACAAAATATATCTACAAAATATTCTTCTACGTATCTTACATTTATAGATCATTGATAGATCAATAGAAGACAAATGGATACATAAGTAGTAGAAATGTTTTTAAATTATTATTATTTATTATCTAATATATATAAATTACGTGTCACGTTGTTTGTCCGCAATGGACTCCTAAACTACTAAACCGATTTTAATAAAATTTTACATACTGTGTGCAGTTTCATCCAACTTGAAAGATAGGATAGTTTATATTTTAATTTATAATCGCAATATTATTTTATTGCGAATTATTTGTTTATTAACAAAGAGTCATGATTATCTCTGTTAGTTCGATAAGATTCGAACAGATGACGGTATAAGGTAATTCATTGACTGGATTGAGTAATTATTATATATAATTATATTAAATTAAATTAATTATATTATATATAATTATATTAAATTATTATTATTATTATATAATTATAGATCGATGTAACTAAGAAAATATTTAGAAAGATTCAAATTATTAATAATATCCTAACTCTATGAATAAATAAATAAATATTTAAAAATTTATAATACTCATTATAGATCGATGTAGATAAGGAAATATTTAATAAGATAAGAATTATTAATGACATTCTAGTTCTATGAATACATGAATAAATAAATATATTTTTGAAAAATCTATAAACCGCTTATAATCCTTACCATTAGATTAGAAAAAGTACTACACATAATAACATCAATGTTAGATCGTATAACAATTGAAGAGATAATAAAAACAAGATGAATATCAGAGTTATTATTTTGTTATATATCATTCTACATACTAATGCCAAGGACAATGATTTTATTAGTGATTATTTTGCATTTAAAAATGTCAAAAATATTGTTGGATTTTCGTGCGGTGATGCTACAAGTACGTAATTATAATAAATTATCTTTAAAAACATATCAATGAAATATTGAATTTTTCACCAGGTAATTTTAATCTTTTGAAAAAGCTGAATCATTTAGGAACCTTTGCTATCATAAAAGATTCTTATTCAAATCCAGACATAAGTTTGATTTTAAACAGCGATCATTGGGCAGTAGGTGTTTTCGTAGATCTACGTTGTCGTAATGAAAGTCTCAATTATATTTTTTCTGATGTAAGATATATACACTTTACAAAATAATTTCAAGCTGTTCAATCTTTGGAAAGATTTTTTAAATCTATTTTATTGATCAGAGCTCGGAACATCGCATGTACAGCTATTTATATAATTGGTTGATATTAGGATCAAATCTGAATGAAAGCATATCGATTTTGAATGACACAGCTTACAGCATGGCAACTGACGTAGTTGTTGCTATACCTAATAAAAATGGTTATGAAATGTATGATGTATTTAATCATTGCAAATATCGAGGTGGTTCACTAAACGTCCTTAAATATGGCACCTGGAATCCTCATGGAAATTTGACTATTTATTTGAAAGAACCAAAATTAATCAGAAGAGGAAATTTGAATGGTTTAAGATTGAAAATATCTGGTGTAGTAAGTATTTCATGATTTTTTTTTTTTTAATTTTACTTTTAATTTTAATAATTTTCAATGATTAGTATCTACATATTTTTTGTAGATTCAATACAGGCCTAAAAATATGCGATTAGTTGATTACATGAAAGATGTCAATACTAGATCCTTAGAAAGTATGCACAAATTTGTATACGCTATGATATCACACACTGGTGATCTTTTTAATTTTACGTAATTATGATTTGTTTTTTAAAATTTAATTATTATAAAATAATTTACTTTACGTATTTACAAGTGATCATTTTTTTTTTTTTTTTTTAATATAGCATACATGCAGGAGAAATATATTATTGGGATAGAAATAGTATACACGGACGAATGTTTGAACTTTTAAAAGACAATTATATCGATATTGCCAGTAATCCGAGAGTTATGGTATCCGAAAGATTAGAATTTGCTAGTCTGATTGGTGCAGCTTGGCCAGTTCGGTTAGAAAAATAAATTTCTTTTTTATTTAAAATATCCGTTGCATCTAATTATATTCTTACAGACCTTGTTTTATGTTACTTTCAACCCCAACGAAAAAAATTAAATTAGATTTGTTCTTGAAACCTTTTACGAAAGGTATTTGGGATTCTTATGCACTTTTCATGATTATTTCTATAATCATCGTTGGATTAATATTGAAACGTGAAAATGTGAAAAGTGAAAAGGGTTTTGGAGCTGTAGTGCTAACTATTGGTATCATGGGCCAACAAGGTACACTTTAATTTCTCTCTTTCGTTTTTTAAGAGAAAAATTTATAATAAATTGAAATATTTTATCTTAGGAGCGTATTTATTTCCTAGAAGTTTGGTCGGTCGTATGGCCGTGGTACAAATACTCCTTTTCAGCTGGATGATGTACAATTATTATTCCTGTAGTATTGTTTCAGCTCGTTTGAGTGAACCCTTTGATAAAATAGAAGATTCTGTTGCTGTACTTGCCGATACGCACATGCGTATTGCTGCAGAAGCTGTACCATATTTAAATTATTTATTAAAAGTATAATACTATTAAATCATTATTATACAGGGTGTCTCAAAAGTTATTTTTCCGAACAGACAAACATTTATTAACTATTTAAATGTTGTGTACAATGTTTTCATTTTACAGGTCTGCGTTAAGGTTTTTTTTTTTTTTTTGATAAAGCAACTCTTTAGACACTCTGTATTTTATGTTGAACGATAAAAAATGTGTGTGTGTGTTCATTAATATTTATTCTATTTGTAGAAATGGAATTGGGAATCAGATTATTTCAGAAAAAAACGTTGGGATCCATTGCCGCAATCAAAAAGATATTTGCCCATAGAAGAAGGTATCAGACAAGTTGGGCAAGGTATTCTTGCTTATCATACAGATCCCAACACTGCTTATCCCTACATCGAAAAGATGTTTGATTCCAGTCAGATATGTCAGCTTACGGAAATTCATCTCTTCAAGGAATCAGTCATGGGAATGTATTCCAGTCACAATGCTCAATTTTTGGAAATTGCGAGAGTTGGGTAAAGTATCTTAACATTTTTATTGTTCCATTTTACAATAGAATTCACTTACGATTATATAATTTTATTGAAGTTTGATCAAAATGCAAAGCAGCGGTTTAAGAAGTCGGCAAATTAAGTATTGGTCCTCGAAAAAACCTCAGTGTCAACAAGATGCTTTATCTACGCGAAGTATTACTATTTATGAAACTGCAGCAGCCTTCATTTTACTCTCATTAGGTGTTTTAATTTCAAGTGGTATTTGTTTAATAGAAAATATTTATTTTTATCGATTCACACGGTAAGTTTTTCTATATTATTGTTTTTATTATATATTATTCATACATTGGAGATGTGTTTGAAAAGTTGATGATTTTTCTTTTGTAAAATTGCAGAAAATTTACGTCAGAAAGAGACAATTCTAGTCTATCGAAACAAAGTAGTAATAAGACAGATAGCACTAATGAATTACAATTACTTAGTATTTGATTTGCAAAAATATTATATTTTACTATAACTCAAAACTACTACTTGCATATTAATATTGTTTCGATGTTACCCAAATGATTAGTCCAAGTAGAAATAAAGGATATTAGAAATAAAGAGAAATCGATATTGTGTAATGCTAACTGTAGTTTTTTTAATCTACAGTGAATTCCATTAGTCTGTAGTACTTATACTAAATAATAAGTCATTTTTCCTATGTTCGATTGAAGTCGTGTACGAAACTGACAGAACGTCACATGCAAAATAGAAAACCGACTTATAGACTTCTATCGTGAAGAAGAACAAATACGGAAAGTCTAGTTTGTAGTTCAAATCCTATTTTCGTTTTGTGTGCACACGTATTTTAAGAAAAATTTATAACAATGTATATTAAAAATGTGCTTATTATTCTTTTTTTTCATCTTACTTTTGCTCAAAATAATGAAATCATTCGAGATTATTTTATTTACAAAAGGGTACCCATTGTCGTTGGATTTTCCTGTGGGAATATTACTAGTGAGTAGAAATTTATTTTGCATAGTCAAATGTTTTTTTCTTTCTATTTGTTATTATTAAAAAAAAAAAGAAAAACTCTTTAATAATTATATAATTATAATTAATCGATTGATCGATCTGTATAGATGATTTTCAGATAATCAAGATGTTAAATAAAGTAGGAATTTCGGCATCCATAAAAGGACCATTTGTAGAATACGATTTTTACAGATTCTTAAACGTTAACTATTGGAGATTAGGTGTTTTCGTAGATTTACGATGTCAAGATCAAAATGCAACAGCAATTTTTAATCAAGTAATCAAATTGATTTATTGAATTTTTAATTATATAAATTATAATTATTATTTAAATAAACGTAATTTTTATTCTGAGATCTTATACAAATTTAATTAAAAAAATGTCAAGAATCATTAAAAGAAAATTATTTAATAATTTTATTATATTATATAAATAATATAATTTTGTAATGATTATGCTATTGAATTTAGAGTACTAATTATCGCATGTACGATTATGCATATAATTGGTTGGTATTGGCAAAAAATATGAGTTATTGTTTGCATAAATTATGTGATAATAGCTTCAGTATTATCACGGACTTTGTCGTTTCCATTCCAAATGATGATTATTATGAATTATACGATATTTACAATCCTAATAAAGAACGAGGTGGTATACTCAATATAACCAGATACGCAACGTGGAATAAAGATACTGGATTGAACATATTTTTAACAAATGCAAAAATTTCAAGAAGATGGAACTTTCACAAATTGAAAGTCATTGTAGCTAGTGCTGTGAGTGAATATCAAATAATTTTCTTTTTTATCTGATAATTTATCAACTAACAAATAAAATTATATTTTAGTTAGAAAGAAAACCCGAAAATATTCCTTTACTAGATTATTTAGAAGATCACGATAATATTAATTTAGAAGGTTGGCCTAAATTTGGTTTTACTTTGGTAAGACTTGTTGCCGAAATTTTTAATCTCAGGTAAAATATTTTCTTTATATATTTAACTATCAATTATTTTCTAACATTGAATATTTTAATTATTGATGAAAAATGATTATGTTTTTAATAGTCTGCATGTTAAAGCATTCACGAAATGGTCGAACTATACTAATGGACCTATGATGGATTCTTTGATCGAAGGAACTGTTGATATAGGATATCAACCTTCTCTTATTGTACATAAAAGACTTGATTTTGCTAAAGTACTTATGGAAATTATGCCTGCACGGTAATAAATTTGAATTATAAGCATTGATTATTTTTTGATTAATCTTATAAGTATTTATTTCGTAGTACGTGTTTTATGTTTTTAACTCTACCGTCAACAACGATACAAATAAGTACCATTTTTCGGCCATTAGCTTGGAACTCCTGGTACATGATTTTCATTTGTTTTATTACTTCTTTTTTTATTTTTTCATTTGTCATTAAATCGGAGCATATTGAAAATCAGGATTATGGAAGTTCATTGTTAACAATTTTGGGTGCCATGTGTCAACAAGGTACGAAATATTAAACATGTAAATTTGTTCAATCAATTTTCTAATCTAATGAATTTAATTAGGTGCACAAAACATGCCTTTTAAATTTGCCAGTCGCATTGCTCTTTTTCAAATAGGAGTTTATGGTTTATTAATATATAATTATTATTCAGCATCAATAGTATCGGCACGTTTAAACATACCACTTAATAAATTAAATGACTCTTTGTATATATTAATAGATAGCAAAATGAAACTAGCATCAGAAGATACTGTTGTTATGAATATTATATTACAGGTAATCTTTTTTAAGTCTTTAAGATCATATATATATCAAATGAATTACGTTAATGTAGCAGCACTATTCTGAATAAAAACTGATCAATTATCTAACGATTCTAAATAATATTTCTTAGGATACTAATCCAGAGATGATATATTTTAAAAATTATTGGTCTCAAATACCACAACAAAAAAGAATTATGGATGTAGAGGAAGGGGTAAGACAAATAATGAATGGCGGTTTTGCTTATCATAGCATTCCTGAATATGCGTATTATTACATGAAAAATTATTTTGATAAAAAAATGATATGCCAATTAACAGAAATTCATTGGCTTAAACCAACAAGAGCAGCTCTTTATACAAATAAAAAAGGACATTATCACGAAGTTGGAAAGATAGGGTAAGATTCAATTTTATGAATTTATTTTTTACTATAATTATAATTATAAGATTTTTCGTAAATGATCATTTTTTATAAATTTAGGCTCATGAAAATTTTGGCGTCAGGTCTTCTTAAACGAGAATTAAAAAGAACCTTCGATCGAAAACCCTATTGTAATACTGATGTAAGTTCTATAGAAAGTGTAACTATATATGAAGCTGCTCCAATCATATTTCTTTTAATTTTTGGTATGATATTATCTATTATTATTTGTTTAATAGAAAATATTATATTCCTAATAATAAAACTAACAAAACCTAAACAATAGTATATAACATTAGGTTAAAATGAAATATTGTTATTACCCCTTGTTATATATAGAGGTAATTTATACTTGATATAAAAATAATAACTATATGCATATATTTATGTATGAATGTATTATGTTTCTTAATACAGATTTATTAGTATTAATAGTACATTTAACAGTACATTTATTAATACGCGAATGCGATAATATGTGTACACACATATAAATATATTTCCTTTACCACATAAATATAAAATATTAACTTGTATATAATGTTTATGAAATTAATAATTATTTTCTACTAACCAAAAATAATTTACTAAAATAATTATGTCTTATATTAATATTTGCTCTTTAACTCTCTTGTATCATGTCGCTCTTTAATTTAATGACAATTGTTCAATTGATTTATTTTTAAAGACAATTTCTTAAGTGATGTAGGATATATTTCTTATACCCTTTCATATATATGTTAAAAAAGCATATCAAATATTTAACACCTGTATAGTTTACATGATAAAAGACAATTCAAGATAAGTGTTTTTATGGATTATTATCAATGAAGGTAATTTATGTATTGTGATTATAATTACTTTTTTTTCTTTGACTTTTTATCTGGAATTTTTGTACCAGTCAAACTGGCTAATTGATTTTTTAACTTTAATAAAATGTCTACTTGCGGCTGCCACACGCTCTTTTCTTCTTTTGCTTTTAATTCGCGCACTAAAGTGCCCTATATAAACAATTCGTTAATAAATAATTAGAAATAATTACAAGTGTTATTCTGTGTTATAACAACAAAAAATAGATACTAATATTAAACACAATAAAATATTTCAACTTACTTGTTTTGCAATAGCTGCTTCTAAAGAATTGATATCTGTACTAGTATCTCCGTTCTGCTCAGGAGTATGTAATGGTTTAACTTTCTTATTGTTGGCAGTATCAGTATCTTGCTTGAGATCAGCTTGTTTATTTTGCATTTTAACAGGAACGTCTACATTAGGCTGCTGGACATTTTTATCATTGTTGCATATTACCTCTTTGACTAGTTGCTCCTTAAGAAATAATAAGATTAATAAAATATACTAATTTTATTTAAATCGAATTTACCTGTTGGTTTGTAACAAATTCTAAAGATTTAACACTTACAGTGCCATTATTCATTTTAGATTGAGTACCATTAGATTCTTGTTTCCCGGAATATTTTTTCCTTAACTCTTCAATCAATTGGTCTTCTATTTTTGTAAAGAGAGGCGATGCTTTACCAATTTTATGGCCAGAAGGTAGCATATTCATAATTGTATCTGGAATATATCCATAACGTGTTTTATCCAACCCTAATTGTCCCCTTATTTCACGAGAAGTAGAAGGCATATAAGGTGCCAACAGAGCTGATAAAAGACACGTTAAATTACAACAAATTCCAATTACTGTCCCGGCTTTCTTTCTGTTAACAAGAACATTCAAATAATAATACATATATAAATTTATTGATTTAATACTAATAAGAATATAAATATATATTCCTTACTTATCATCGTCTGTACCCTTTACTTTGGCCCATGGTTGTTGCGATTGCATATATTGATTTCCATGTTTCGAAATTGCTAAAACATATTTTATACCATCTCTTAATTTAGCTTGTTCAAGTGCAATTATATAAGATGTCAATTCACGTTGAGCTAATGCTAATAAAGTCAGATCATCTTCTTGAGGTTCCATTGGTGGTACTTTAGATTCAAAAAACTTTTCTGTAAATACTAGAGCCCTAACAATAAAAATAATAATCGTTAATAAGAATAGTATATCATATCATAAACGTATGTTACAAATTGTATACCTGTTAATAAAGTTTCCAAGATTATTTAATAACTCATTGTTATTTTTAGTTGCTAAATCTGCCCAATTGAAATTCGAATCCTGGCTTTCAGGTCTAATGTATGCAAGATAAAATCTCCATACATCAGCTGGAATACCTGTTTCTCTAGCATCAGTTCCAAATACACCAATACCTCTAGATTTTGAGAATTTAGTATCTTCATAATTCAGATATTCTAATATATAAAAAAATATTTGTCATTTTACAGATATATTGAACATAATAAAAAAATAAGTAAATAGTAAGATATACAAATAAATAATCAATATTACACACATACCAATAGCCATCAAATGTTTCAATAACGTATAATCTTCATTAGTTGCTAATAAAGAGGCAGGAAACATGATAGTATGGAATGGTACATTATCTTTAGCCATAAATTGGTACAAACTAATATCAGTACCATTAGGTTTCCACCATTGTTCATACTCTTTAGTATATCTTTTTGTAATACTGATATAACCAAAAGGAGCATCAAACCAAACATAAAAAACTTTATTTTCAAATCCCTCAGCTGGTACAGGTATACCCCATTTTAAATCACGAGTTATACAACGTGGTTTAAGACCGTCACGTAACCATGGTTTTGTAACCACTCGAGCTACAGCTGACCAACCTTTTTCTACTTTGGCTGACCATACTTTCAATCTTTCTTCTAACTGGAATTAAACGATTTAAAAATATTTAATATATTCAAATGAAAAATAAATATAGAAAAATATTATATATACCAATAGAAACATCATTTATCTTACCTTAGGTAAATCTAAAAAGAATTGTCTTGATTTCTTAATGATAGGTCTATTGCTACAGATTTTACATCGAGGATTAATCAACTCTGTTGCATTTACTAAATGACCACAACCATCACATTGATCACCCCGAGCGTCTTCATATTTACATCTAGGACAAATTCCTTCCACAAATCTATCAGCTAAAAATCGATCACAGGATTCACAAAGAAGCTGATCAACAGTATCCATCAGCACATATCCTTGTGATTTGATTTTTAAGAAAAATGACTGAACAATTCTAAAAATATAATTGTGTAATTAAAAACACATGTAAATGTAAAAAAATAACTCAAACACAGATTTTCATTGATCTTACTCTGTTTGTTCAGCTGTTGTAGTACGTCCGAAATAATCAAATCCAATACCAAACCAGCGATAAACATCATTATGGATACTAAAGAATTTATCACATATTTCTTGAGGTGTTGTTTTTTCTTCTAATGCTTTGGCCTCAGTGGCAGTACCGTATTCATCAGTACCACTGATATATAACGTATTATAATTTCTTTGCCGACAATATCTAAAAAAAAAAAAACATAAAATTCATTTAAAAAAAATCATTTTATAATAAATAGAAAGAACATTTATTAATATAAATACCTAGCAAATATATCTGCAGAAAGAACACAACCAACAATATTGCCTAAGTGAGGTACATTATTTACATACGGAAGCGCAGATGTAATTAAGATGTTCCTTTCTCCCTTTTTAGGTAAACTAAAAGTATACAAAACTAATTAATTCATTATTCAATTTTTTTTAGTTGAAAATTAAATGTGTATGAAAACTTACACAGGATACGATGGTTCTTTTACATTTGGACAATTACACGAATTCCAATTAGTCGCTGCTTTATCCAATTCTTCTTGGCTAACTACTTCATCTTTTTCATCTTTTTCTTTATTCAAATTAAGCTAAAAATAATCAATTAAAATATAAAAGGCAAAATACTAATATTTGTTTATAATTTTATTGTAATTTTCATTTACTTCGTTAGTAGTAGATTTGCAGGATTTGGTTGAGTTAACTGGAAACCAAGATCCTGCTTGAATACTGTTAATTGCTTTTAAACCTCTTTCTAATGAAAATACTTTCAAAGAGTCCTGAAAATATATTATTATTTAAGTAATAAGATTCATAAAAGTTTCTTTTTCTTATTTTTCTTATATTATTTTTATACCTGAATAATTGGCAGTAATTCTATATTTTTCAACCAATCACTAAGATATACATATTCTTTAAGTATTTCATTCCCAATCTCAGTAACCATTACAGTAGACCATATAGATACCCAAATAGATGCATCTGCTAATGATATATCATTTTTATCCTATAAAATTTAAATGTTTTTTTTTATTGTAACAAACAAAAGCAGATATGGATTTTATGAATAATAGCAATATATAAAATACCTTAAGGTACTTACGTATTAACGCCATCGCAGCAAAAATTCCGCTAATGCGCCAATAAAGAGCAATATTATTGTTCGTACACAAAAACCTTGTTGTTTGCACACAGCAACCGTCAGGGTTTCGTCAGGGTTTCGTCAGGATTATGGCGACAGCATTAGGTGAAAGAAAATAGATACTGTTTTGAATCTATGTTAAATTCTATATCGGCCCATTTTCCACCGAAATCCGATTGACTACTTTTTATAAATAAAATGTTTTGAATTTTGAAAGTGTTTTGATTTTAAATAAAGTTTTTTATTCTATAATTTGTCGCAATTATTTAAGGTGTAGATTGGCGCATTAGCGGAATTTTGCTGCGGTGGCGTTAATACGTAAGTACCTACCTTAATTAAGTACATTTTGTCTTTTAACGCATTATTTATTTCACTTAATAGAGACCATAAGCAAGACTTGGAATCTGTTTTATACATTCCTGTAGTTCCATAATATGTTATTGCAGGCTAGAAATAAAAATATATTTGTATATACGTAAAAATACAAATAAATATATATATATGTAAAACATATATTAATTTACCTGTAATTGAGAAGCATCCCATTCTAGCCACTTATTAGTTATTATTTCATATTCTTCAGAAGGAGCCGCTAAAAACTGCATTCCTGCACTTGTACTAAATATTTTAGATCCATTTGGCAATTCAAGAAAAGGAAGTCGATTTAAAACGGTTTCTAAACAAAATTAAATAATCGATTTTACATTCATAATCGAATAATTAAATATGTTACAATTTTAATGTAATATATGTAATAGTTTGAGTCATCCTTTTTATTGTAATTGTAATTATTTCATCATCTTTTATATCCGGTAATATATTCTACAGTAATGTGTATTATATCATAAATTTAAATAGAACATATCAGTAATAATATAAAAATGAAGTCATTATAAAAATGTTAATAATTTAAATTTTCAAATGAAGTAGAGGTTAAGTTCATACCATTCGGAACTGTTATCTTTATGTTTATTGTTTTCTTTTCTAATTTAGCAGCGATAAGTAATTTTAACGCATTTGGATTGCTCTCGTTCGTTGACACTATCATGGTTATTAATAAATTAATAAATAATCACAATAAATAGAAAATATGTTTAACGCACACTACCCATGCGTGTGAACAACAACCTGGAAACGTGACAGCGGTTAATCTAGGGAATTTTATTGCACATCTGTTTTTCCCAGTAATAAAACTATTTGAAATAATGATTGAATAATTTTACCGATTATGGTAAATGTCAGATTTTACTTAACATTTTAAATATATATATATATAAGTTGTGTATTCAATATTTGGAATAATTTATTTATGGATTTACAGGTATGTATATGTGACTTTTTAAAAAGAATTGTACAGTTTTCATTTACAAAGAAAATACATTTTCATCATCCTACTAAAAAAACAGCAGAAAGTGATTTGTATTAATCGTAAAGAATTTTTTCATACGAGATATTCTTTGGAAAATTAGGTTCTTCTCACAAATTAGATGAATTAGTTAAAAATAAAATTGAGATATTGTTATGATTTTAGAAGCAACATTACCATGTACTTATCTTTTGTTAACTTGTGGTTCTTCTATATATGTGTTGTACAAATATTCTTATTATAAATATTCGACACTTCCAACACATTTTATATTTGCATTTATTGGATTGACAACATTAGGAATTCGTTCATTATATAGTTTAACATATAAATTATTTTTCAAATCTTATAGTGAGTATGGTGACACATAAATTAAATTATAAATATACTTTTTTATACTTTGTTACAATGAGTGCATTAATATTTTGTAGCTTTAGATGTAGTATTGATAGAGTCAGAAGAAAAAGAAAGTAAAATGAAAGTTAATATTTTGGATGAATTTCTTAAAAACATTAGTAGAACTTCTTTAATGTGTTCTCTTTTATTTCATCATGGAGATTATCTTCTTGGATTTAATGCAATTGCTAATTTTGGTATATGCAGTGTAATACACATCAAAAATTGGATTGTATTACAAGATCGGGTACTTTTCAAACAAAATTCTTACTTTCCTTTTAACTGTTTATTATTAAAAATGAAAACTTCTTTGAAATAGTTATTGATATTCTAATTTCAATAGAATGAGCATTCAATCATCAGATTTTGGTACAAAAGGAGTTCATTTAATGAAGTATCTGAAATATTTATATTCCTTGAATTATTAACCACTGGCTATGTTATGTAAGTTTGCAGATCATTTGCAAGAACGATCTAATGTTTATTACACAAAGAATATTCGTTATTTTAGGTTGTTAAACAATAATAATTACGGTTTATTAGCTAATGTCTTCTATGCAACAACAACTGTTTTATTTCCATGCGAAGAATTTTATCAAGAATGGACGATAAATCATGCAATTAATAATTATATGACAATGGTTTATGTTATTTTAATAACAGAAGCGCTTCAAAAATTATGACAATATATATATAAGATTCAATATACATTTAAAATATATATATATATATATATACACAAGTCATGTATTGTAATTTAATTCAATACAGAATCAATTGAAAATTTAGGATTATACAGGATTTTTTAAAAATATAAATTATTTTCTTACAGTAATATCAATTTAAAAAAAATTTATTGTTCATGCAATGTATTGTCATAAGTAAAAATCTATAAACATATACAATAGTATGTGTGTATGTACGCGTAACATATATAATTTAAATGCTAGTTTTATCACATGTAAGATAAATAGTAGAGCATATAAATATAATTAATTTATCGTAGTCAATTTTTGTTGTTTTTGCTTTTATATGAGTATATCATTTAATAAAACATAGACAAAGGCAATAGATATTTTCTATTCATTATCTTATGAAAATACACATATTAAATTTAAAGATTAAGATCAATATTAAACAAATTTTATAACAATTTTGTCTGTGTTCCATATACTGTAATTTGTTTGAACTATAATAAAATTTGTCACTTATAATTGAATAATTATTACGTCGAATAAATACCACAAATATTACTTTTCAAATACGTTGATATAAAACAAAAAAGTAAAAACAGTAATTTATATTTAATTACTATTTTTATACTATTAAAATCGATTGATTATGATTCTCAATTTTGAAAATTGAATGTATTTTCAATTTGTTTGTTTATCATTGTAATATTAAACATTAGTGTTGGCTTCACGCCAACCTGTGGCGTGTTGATTACGATTTTGTAATCTCAAACTATTTCTAGGGCTTTCATCGGGTTCATAAGCAGGATTTGTATGTCCATGATCTTCAAAAACATCCTTTATGGATATTTGACTACTTCTTGAAGGTCGTCCTTGAATACCATGAGGATTACCTGCCACTCCATATTTATTATTAGCTCCTAAAGTTTGCATTTGCGATTTTCTTCTCATTGCCATTAAACTCGATCTTCGATTTTCTAAAGCTTTACAAGCTTTCACTGAATGTCGCGTAGACATATTTCCAGGCAAGCCTATTAAAAGGAAAATTGATATGTTATTGATTATTATTATTGATTATAAATTATCATTATTAATTATTAATAAGTTACTCACCTACACCTTCAGACATACTAAAGAAGCGTTGTTTGAATGCAACATCAAGCGTATTTATTGTTTGTGCTTTTCGTTTACTCTTTTCAAGATTTCTTATCGTCTTTCGTCTACCAGGTCCATTGCCACTACCTTCATCGTAATCGCCTTCCATACCATTTAATTTTTGTAAATCTCTAACCATTTCCACTGCTTGTTGAGAAGATAAAGTGTCCTCTGTGACATCCTTTAATAGAAAAATAGAAAAATTTCTTTTGTTTATTAACTTTATCATTTATTTGATTGAACTTTGATAAAACAGAGACATACCTTTTTGCAGCAGAACCAATCCAATGTGGTACTTGCCAAGATATGAGCAAAAGTACCAAATCTATGAAATAGCATAGCAGTGAATTGAATGACTAGAATTAATGCAAAAAAGAACACGAACACCAGACCAATAGGCTCAAGTTGCAAGTATTCTTTGGTAACGTGTACCTGAAATATTAAAATGTTATTAATATTTAATATAAAATAATATATAATAAATAATACGAATATTCATGCTCGCATGTGCATTGCATGCGTTTGTGCGTAAGTATTCGTTTTATTAAAAATTATACAGTTTATTTATTTTAATGGTTAATATCACTTTA